GAGTGTTTTCAAAAGACAAAGAAGAGAAAATAATATCAATGGAGGTTGGGTTGTGATGAACTTCAGTTTGAAATCTTATTAAAAGAAGTGCTCACCTTTAATGCTCAACTGTGTCTGAAACAGGATCACACGTGTGATCAATTAAAAAAAAAAATAGAGATAGAGAGACAGGGAGATGAGGAAATAATCCTATGAAAGCTCAAGAGGGATAGTGCTCATTATCTGCATAGAACGTAACATTTTGGAGTTGCCACCTTGGGTTTAATTTTATTCATGATTTTGGCAAGTTACATCATCCAATTATTTCATTGAAAAAATTAAATATTACAATGTTATATAAGTTATTTTCATTTTCAATTTTCTTGTATGATAAAGAGCGATTAAACTAATTTTGAAATTAGGATGGAATACACTTATACACAGCCAAGAGATGGTCCAATTTTGGTGCTCTACTTTTTGGTTCGGAAATTGGAATCCTGCTTAATTAATTACGAATATTTTACTCCAACATATTTTACCTAATTTGATAATATATTTGTAATTTTTCAATACTTTAGCCCTAATATCATTAGTTCTATTAAAACAAATTTCTTACATTAAACTTTTGAATGTTGATAAAATATTATCAAATGTTGATATATTAAATAATTTTTTAAAATAATTATGATTGGGGGAAAAGGTATTAGTTGAATTTGGAAAATTGAATAAAAATATGTCATAAAATTAAGGAACTAAACTAGAACCTTATACTAGTTTTGTCTCAATTTATAAAATACTTTTATAATCATGAATATCAACAAAAGCTCATTAAATTCAATTTATAATTTTATTTTTGTAAACTAAAAATATAAAATTTTTAAAAATGCCTTTCATTTAATATTCATTTGTGAAAGAATATTAAAGAGAGAATATATGGGATGAGTAATATTAAAAAATATCATTAATAAAACTTTAATTTTATCTAAATGTCTTATATTTTGGGGCCATTAAATCTTGTCCAAATTTAAAATTTATTATAATTTAGGATAGAGGGAGTATAAAAATGATGTTGGCCCCATTGTACTTGAAATTTTAAAATATTTGAATTTAATAGTAAGAGTGATGTGTCATAATTAATATTATTGGTTGATTAGCATAGATCTTGCATTACATAAAATCACAGTTCTGATGGCTTAATTCCTCTAAAAGACCATTATCTTCATACGTTATTTTCTTAAAAAAGTTCATTTTCTACAAATTGTTTTTGGTAAAAGAAAATTTATGTGAGTCAAGTCTTTGGAGCTCACAAATCATTTTTTCCAATTAATTTGCGAATCATGTTCTTTTCCTGAATTTTTTTTCAACTTTTTCCGTCCTAACCCAGTACAGTATAACTTCACTCACGCTTCCCCTTAATCCCTTCACTCACGCTTCCCTAGTCCCCTATACACGTATTAATTACCTTAACCTGAATTCAAAAGACCATTATCTTCATACGTTATTTTCTTAAAAAAGTTCATTTTCTACAAATTGTTTTTGGTAAAAGAAAATTTATGTGAGTCAAGTCTTTGGAGCTCACAAATCATTTTTTCCAATTAATTTGCTAATCATGTTCTTTTCCTGAATTTTTTTTTCAACTTTTTCCGTCCTAACCCAGTACAGTATAACTTCACTCACGCTTCCCCTTAATCCCTTCACTCACACTTCCCTAGTCCCCTATACACGTATTAATTACCTTAACCTGAATTCAAAATATACTTTTAGATAACATCATAGAGTACATACTAATAAAATTTATTAAATATACTTTACAACATTATTTTTTTTAAAAAAATGTAATTAAACTTTCAAAAATGCTTTAGTTTAATACTATATTTGTGAAAAAATATTAAAGGAAGAGAATATATAAGAATGGTAATATTGATAAAATATTATTATTGAACACTACTAGAAAAATATAAATTAGAAAGAAAATTTAGCAAAGGATCATCTATTCCTCTCTAAAATATCAAATTAGCGAGGAAATTAGTTATGGATGTTGATTTTATAGCTCAATTGAAAATTAGCAAGGAAAATATCTAGAAACTGTCAATCCCTCTGTAAAATAAGATAATTAGTGAAAAAAATAGTGATGAACTATTAATCTCTCTCTAAAATAAGATGATTAGTAAGAAAAATAGTGAGGAACTGCCAATCTCTTTGTAAAATAAGATAGTTAGTGAGAGATTTGATAAAGGATTTTATCCCTAGCTAATTAAATTAGTGAGGGATTTGGTGAAGGATTTTATCCCTAGCTAATTATTGCAAAAGATTTTGACTTTGACTTTTAATTATATATTTAATTATTTTTATTTAAAAATAAAATTTAATTTAAAAATTAACTAAATATTCATAATAAAATTATTTAATCTTTAATATTTTCTTTATTTTAAGTTCATTTTTATTAATAAAATAATATTTTATTAAAAATATAATATAAATAATTATTTAAATAAAATACAAATATTTTTAACATTAAAAATTGAAAATAAAATTTAATGTGTGTGTGTGTGTGTATTTTTATAATGTATTATTTGATATATTTGTATAGTTAAATAATATATATTTAATTTTTCATATAATGACTACAGGTACTTTTCAATTCAACTAGTAAAAAAAGAGAGCATAAGGCTTGAAAGGTAAGAGATAAAGTGTTTAAGTCTTGGCTTTAGCATAAATGTAATGAATATGCGACATGGCAAAGAGCAATTGATATGATGCGAGGTGAAAAATAACATGTCATAAGTTATCATACATCTGGCGGGTGATGAGACACAAAATGGTACACGATATGGCAGTTAATGAGGCACAAAGTTGTTGGTAACATGTTACAAGTTGATGCATACATGGTAGGTGATGTGAGATTACCATTTTTAAATATATGTATATTTAACAAGGGACTAATCTCTTGCTAAAGATTATCAAGAGATGTGGCCCTCACTAGAAATTAGTGAGGAAAATATAATCACTCGTTAAATTTAGCAAGTCATTTTTTAGCTATGAATTTAACGAGAGACAAAGTCCCTCATTAAAATACAATTAGCGAGGAAAAATGGCTTTTAATGAGGGATTTGTCCATCATTAAATTTCATTTTTTTAGTAGTGAAAACCTTATTTTTGTTAAAGTGTCATATATTTTAAAACATTGAATCTTTTCCAAATGTGTTTTATAAATTGTGACTGAGGAAGTATATTACAATAAAATTTTATATGGACCTGGTGCATCACGTTATCCATTATCTACCTAATAAAATTACACTAATTCAATCAAATAAAATTTTATGTGTCATTATTTTTAATGATTTTATTTCTATAATATAATGCCTATTTAATTTTTTGCCTTCTCTCTCTACTATCATTAATGTTAGAATTAATTTATAGTTAATGCCATATGAGACATTTTATTTGATGAATCCTAGATGACGTGATGCATTGGGTTCGTGCAAGAATTTCTTGTATATTAATAGGCCTTAGTGTGTGTGCGTGTGTGTGTGTTTTTTTTTTGGTGGAAAAAGTTAAGGTAAGTTGGGTCCTAGAGGCTTATTAAAGCCAAAGCATACACCTAGGCTCAAACAGTTGTTACAGAAAAGTAGCAGGATTTGGACCTATGACTTTGTTGGTTGTGGGTTGTTTATGGGTTCTATAGATGCTAAGGGTTGTGGAGGACTAGTTTAGGATACCAAAAGGAATATCATTGAAGCTTTCATACTCTGGTGAAAGGAGGGTGATAGTCTAATAGGAGAACTATGGTCATGCTATATAGGGCTTAAGAGAGCTTGGGATATCAAATGCAAGCATGTCAAACTTCATAGTGACTATTGCGAAGCATTATCTCTATTAAAAGCTACTAATTATGAACTTCATGAGGATCAAGAGATTATTATAGAGATTCAACAATTACTTCAAAGAATTTGATAGGTTCATTTGATTTGCATCAGAAGGAAGTTTAACACTGAAGTTGATTTTTTAGCTGAACGTGCCTTATCGCTCCCTTAGGAACTTCACATAGTGGCTGGTGACTCTATTCCTTTGATCATGGAGAATTCTTAGTTTTCTTTTGTTGTTTTTTATTTTTGCTTTTTTATCTTGTATCCATAAAAAAAAAAGACCAACCTTTCCTGGCTATTGGGCCTTAGTGTTAATTACATAAGTTTTGTTGGTTTTTTTATTTTTCTAGCAAAATTATATAATTTTTATTTTTTTTTTTTCTATATTTTAATTTCTCATCTTTACTGCATTTTTAATTTATTATATTTTATTTTTATTTGAAATTAATTATATATATATTTCAATTATTTTTTTATTTTTTTCTTTGACAATAGTTAATATATAATTAAAATATTTCAATTTAATCGCAATCAATTCATTCAAGCTATAATTTTGACCACAATTTGACTATATGTTAGTGTCTTAATTAGTTCAATAACTAGTTTAGTTTTTAATACCTAGTCCCAACTACTTCCTTTGGTCTTTATTGTAATCCTTCTAGAAGGAATTTTTTATTTTTAATATAAGGCACTTGATGTTGTATTGATTAAGTTTTCTCAATATTATCCTATCTAAATTCATTAATAATGAGAGAGAATGTAATGCAGATTTAATTTGAAATTTTTTCATTTAAATAAGAGTAAAATTGGAAATTTATTATATTTTTAGCAAAGTTAATGACTTAACCACCTCTTTTTAATTTTAATAAAATAATTAGAGGTATCTTATAATATAGAGACCGAAGGGAGTACATGCATATAATACATTAGAAAGCAAATTGAGGCAAACAATACAATGGTTATAATATTAGATGGAATGCAAGGCTGAGATTTGCTGGATTGGATTATATGTAAAACTCTCAACTGCATTGAATTTGAACCTATAAGCACGAAACACGTGTATGCACATTAAATAACCACAATTTTCAAACCCTATGTCTCGTCGTCCTATATATACCACATTATCTTTCAAAAGTTGTAGCCGTCAAATTTCATTTGAAGCGTAAGGCTTTCTTTTGCTTATAGTTGTACTAGCAATTTAGACATGTCATTCATAGAGATTTTGGTTCAAGACGACGATGACAAAGAAGCTCAAGAAAAGATGATGAATATGGGTTCATCAATAAATCAGATCACTGGCATACCAAATTAAGGTATTTGGAATTCATTATCATGCATGCATTTTGTTCATATAATCTTTCAAATCTTGCATGCCCAAAGAATGAAATCAACCATTGTTTCGAGTTTTATTTACATTGGTTTAGGTTTTGATGGGTAAGAATTTAGGATTTTAAGTTGAAAGTAATAATTTTTTAATGTTTTTATCTTTTTGTCAAATTTTCTCTTAGATTGAATATTCCATTTCACACAATTTTCATTTTTGATAAAAGATAAAAAAATTAATAATTAATGTTTACACTATAAGAAAATAGAAAATTCGTGAAGAAACAAATCCATTTCAAATTTGTCACAGAAAATATTTCGATAGCAAATCTGTACTGCATCCATCGCAAATACCCCAAATTCATAGCAAATCCATCACAATGTTGTCTCAATTCCATTGCAAAACCATTACAAATTTCCTGTTTTTAGTAATATTAATGAGATATTGATTTTCTTGGTCATTTGCTTAAAAGTAAATTAAAAGTTATGTGGATATTTCTGGAAGAATTATCAATAGAATTTTATTTTCTAACTCTTATCATCTCTGCATCTCTCTAGTTAGATTTTTCATCAAGAATGCACATTTTTACTCACTAATAATTACTTTAATGAAGTGTTCCTGATTTATATTTGAATTAATATAATTTTCCAGCAGTCTAAGATAAGTCTGTTAATATGTCGATAATGAACCAAGCTACCTGATACAAGTTTATATGTGTATATATATGCTATTATCAGCATTGTTGCTTTCACACTTCATGTTTCTTTCCTTTTCTTTTTATAGTTGGCTTCAAAATTTTTGAGACATGAGATGGACGCTCATTCTATAGAATAGAACAGAACCAATGAAAACATATTCAATCTCCTCCTACTACTAATTGTTCCTTTAGGCTTGCTTAGCCTAGCTACTTGACACTATACATGTACGTTTGTGTTTATATATTAGGTTATGATAAATTTGATATTAGAGCTTTTGGTTTTCAAGGATTTTGTTCCTGCAAAAAATGGTAGTCTTTATAAGTAATTAATCGCTTTTTGTTAGCCAGGAAAAATTGAAGAAGTCACCGGAAAATATGGTTGCTGGATGAGGAGGACGAGGAGAGTTCAATTTTTTTGAGTCTCCACCGGACGACCTTGTCCTTTCCATCCTCACCAAACTCAACTCCACAGAGGAATGCCCCTTTGATTTCATTAGTGTTTTAAGCACATGTGTGTCTCCATGGATTTGAGAATTATTACAATACTTCATGGTTTGGCTCTCCAGTCTCAGGTCCTATCGAAAGCTTTTATATATGCAGAGACAAATGCCACTATTTGGAGCTGCCATGCTATATATACTTACTTATTAAGTCAGTACGTGGCACAACCCTACAGCCCCGAATGTTTCTTCAAGATTAACAATAATCAGTGTCATCATCGAAATTCACAGACTACTAATCATCACTAATTAATTTTAGCTTACCCCATATATAGGAGGACTGTGAGCAAGGACTTTTTCAACAAGCTGTGTTCTAATCTACAGCTTGTGGTGGATTGTTGATATGTCTCTAATATTAAGGTTCAGCAGACGAGAACCGCAGGAAGAGGAAGAAGCATTGATCAGAAGAAGAAACATGAAGCTCAGTACAAGGCAATAGGCCATGAGACCAGACTTGTTGCAGAAACTTTAAGAGTCATATTTAATCTGTATGTGTCTGATGATGATATGTTGATCATACATGTATAATCAATCAATGAGGGCATGTGGTTTTGGAAGACAGATCTCACACGTGAAGAAGCAACTATACATATGGAAGAGTACTGTTGGTCCTAGAGACATCCTGGAAGGGTAGTGTATTTGTAGTTCTTCTATCTTTTGAAGTATTTGATGTTGTGGTAGTGTATTTATACATGTTTTTCTAGACTACAAATGTTATTTGAGATAAGTTGCTAGGTTGGAAAATTACAATCACATTATATATAAACAAGGGTTAAATGGCAAACTCGCCTTTAGATTATACGGCTAAGAGTATTTGAATTCCTAAATTTATTTTCGATTTAATATTTTTCTCTAACTTTTGAAACGGTATAATATTTTGTTCCTGCACTTAATAACTGTTAATTTTGACTATCAATTAACTAAAAAATTATAGAAAAGTATTTCAAAAATTACAAAGAAGAACCAAGAATTTTTTTTTTATCTTTTTCTATAATCTCTTGAGCCCTTGTTTGTAACTTTATTCAGGTTTCTTCAATAATATGTAACATTGATTCATCATTTTTGAATTTTCCTTCGAGGACCATGGTCCTTTTGTCCAAATATTTGAGCCATATGGTCCTTTTGACCAATTTTTTTTTTTCAAATTATTTTTTCTTCCTTGAAATTGTTTGACCCCAAGTAACACTAACCCGAGATGAAAAGTTCAAGGGAACTTGATTTATGTTCGAATTTAGTTCGTATTTCATCATTCCTACTATTGTCAAGGTTTTGCCATTTTAATTTTTGATGAAAAATTATATATTTTTAACTATTTTTATTAAAATATTTTTTATCTGCAAACATATATTTTTTTTTGTTGAGCCATGGTCCAATTAGTGAAAAATATTCCATAAAAACAATAATTTCAATTGCAGATTTGACTTTGCACATAATAATGGTTACATGTTTAACAAGAGCTAGCAATAAGCTAGGCCACCTTGCATTATTGTGACAAAAATTTGTGATATATATAAGAAAAAATCTTTTGCAAATTGATTTGTGATGGAGTAGACTTTTCTATTTGCCGCAGAATTTCTGTATTAGATTTAGTGATGATGAAAATTTTTCACTATAAATTCCACCACAAATTTGATATTTTGTAATAGTGTGGTTTGGTAGTAAAATTCGATGTAACTAGCTAGAAAAACATAATATCAAATATATGGCTAGGATTTTCCAGACTAGACTAGACTTAAAACTATCTTGATTACATTAAATCTACATGTGCAAAAACATGCATGTGCGCAGCCACACACATCACAAAACACGGCTTTCAAACCCTAGGTGATCTCTTCATGGGGAGAAGAGTCTCTTCATTTTTTTCCTCCATTTCTCCAATCCCTACAATTTAAATTATTTTATTAATGGTGGGGATTGGGAAAATGGAGGGAAATGGAGAGGAAAAAAGTGAAAAGATCTCTCTCTCTCTCTCTCCCTCCTCATAAGGGGCAGGAAAAAGAAACCCTAGGTCTCATCACCCTATATAGGCACACATGCACACTCCTTTAACTTCAAAAGCTAGCTACAATAGTGCATCGTCAAACTCTATTCGAAGCATAAGGTTTTTCTTTAGTTGCTACTAACAATTTAGACATGTTATCAACGGAAGTTTCAGATCAAGAAGAAGACAATGGTGAAGCTCAATCTGAGAAAAGGATGCATCTATGCCTTTATGAATCAGATCAACGAAATACCAAATTAAGGTATGTAGGAAATCTGAGCATCATTCATATGATTTTCTAAAAGAACTTATATTGTGAATTAATGAATTATTTCAGAAAAGAATAAAATGAACAATTGTTGAGTGGGTAAGATATTAGGGTTTGATGTTTAAGCTTTAGGATTAGTGTCGTAATTCTTTTCCACCTTTATTTGACAGATCTTGCACATTCCATTGGATAGAAGGTCTCTTTTCCCTCCAATATATTGAAAAAAAAAAAAGTAATAGTTGATGATAGATAAATTTTCTTACCCATCCGTAAAGTCCAAAGATGAATAATTGGGGTTGAAATTTCAAATAAATGAAATTAGTGGAATAAATAGCTAAAATTTATTTTTAATATTCCTTACAAAGAAAAGAATATATCATTACAAAGGAATCATGTGGAAACAAGAGGGGGTAAACACACCTCTTTGCCCCTCTTAGATCTGCCATTGCAAGGGCGGTGGTGTAGATTTTCCTTCAAATTCCATTATGCAATTGTGTTGAAGGATTTTAAGTTAATTCCATATAGAAAAATGGCTTATTTATTGCTCTCACAAGTGTACAAGGATTTTAATTTTACTTTGATTATTTTGTTTTTTAGTCTCTATATATAATTTTATTTCGTCATTTCTAGTTCCGTTAGTTTGATTAGCCTATAACATTAATCCCTTGTGTGAATTTCACTCCACTGCATATGTACGTGTGATGGATTAGCTTTCCTAGACAGAAGAATGTCAAGTTCATTAGATGAAGAGAAACAAAACCCTTCTTGTGAGATGGAAAAGCTCAATCTCCAAGGTGAACACAGTGGAAGAAATGAAGATCTAGCACAGAGCATTAGCGAAATGATTTCTTTAAGTAGAAAATATATGGTTTATCTTTAAAAAAAAATGTAATGATACTTCTAATTAATGTTCTTGCTAGTGAAATTTCATGTGTGTATCTTCTCATATATATGAAATGTGCAGAAATCAGTAAAAGAACTCATAGCTGATAGCCGAGGATACAAAAAATAGAATTGTTTTGGCAATAATGTTTCGAGACTGAAGCCTTAAGAAATCAAAAAACGAGGAGGAATAAGAAGGATGAAGAATGATGATTGTGGTGCTGAAAATATCCAAGACATTGTCGGACTGAAGTGCCTCGATCGATCAGTCTTATCCTTACTACAAATCTATAACTAAGGTAAAGCTTATATACATGTATGTCTACTTGTCCAGAACAAATATATAACTAAGCTTTATGCATGCTTTATCTTGTAAACATTATTATTTGTCATCTTCAATTTTTATTCAGACACTGACATCGTATTTAGGAACAGATATTGCTGAAACAAAGTTATTTAATTGAAATAATAAGAAAAAAGTTGTAAGGAATTAACAAGCATATATATGGGTACCAAACTTTACATGATGGTCTATTAGAGTTCTGCATTAATCACACACACTAATTAAGATTAACAACCTTATTTTTAGTTTATTTCAAGACCAGAACGAAGGGCCATATGAAGTAGAAAACCAAACGGTGGAAAAAGTGAAGCGTTAGTGCGTGGGGATAACAATGAACCAGAAGAAGAAGGAACCAGAAGGCCTGTCACAATGGTTGCCATTTCCAAACCTTAAAAAGAAAAAAGAAAAAAGGAAAAACTTTCAAAGGCTAAACGCTAAAATGAGCTAATCAATTTCAGGTAAGAATCAAATAAAGGCAGGAACTTTAATGGGGAAGAAGCAAAATCAGAGGAAAATGAGAGAAACCCTGTAAGATATCAGGTAAAATCAATGGTGCACCTTTTACAAATGCTAAGTATAGACCTATTTACTAGATCCTTAAGTAATCTGCTCCCTCCTCACTTGATAAGGATAAATTTATAGTTGCTCATGCATTATGCGTCATTTGCATATCGAAGCTGTTTGGTTGTCAGGGCGCAGAAACTAGAAACTAGTAATCTCATTTAGCTTGGCACATCTGTTTTATTTATGTTGGATTGAGTTGGCGTTGAGAATTAATATTGGGTTAGGTTATATTGGGATATGTTAGTATTTTGAGTTTTAGTTTTTTTTTTTTGGGCCTGCATGCCTCATTTGGGCCTGCGTGCCTTAGTTTGTTTGTTTTAGTTCTTGTTGTTTTGTTGTTTAATTACTGGGCCATAGATATGTGTTGGTTAGTCTATTATTGTAGTTTTTCCAGGTGCGTATTGTACCATGTGTGCAAGCTCAGAGCCCAAGAGGCATAAGAAATATATTTGGTATTATTCAGAAGTTCTTGTTGTATTATTCAATTGGGTGGCAGGAAGGGTAAGAAACTTATGAAGCAAGGAAGGACATGTCATGTAGAACTTTGAAATTCTTTTAATAAGAAGATAAGTGGCTGCATTGTTTCCATTAGGGTGTGAGGGGTCTCATTTATAGATTTTGATAACTTAGTTTTCTGATTTTTGAAATCAATATTGTTAATTTATCAATTTATTTTAGATTTTTAAATTCTATCTTTTTAAAAGAAATTTTAATTTAAAATTTAATATTTTTCCTAAAAATATCAGAATGAGTCACAAATATATATATATATATATATATCACAAAATTCATGTCATTTTAGTCATTATGTATCTAAATTGGTTTTTGAATCAATTCATCCAAATAAATTTTAATTTATCTAATCAGCTTCTTTAAAAAAAAAAGAGTATCCAAATATAAATCATTTTTAAGTTACATAATTTTATCCTAAATTCAATTTGCAAACCTTAGTTGGGAATTTTTTAATCCAAACATGCTCTTAGAGGGCATCTTCTAAAAGCATTTTTGGTCCAAAATATCGGGGAATATAGAATGTTAACAAACTTTCTCCTTGTATTACCCCTTTCCTCGTTTATATAATTATTCATTGGTGCTCCTGGAAGTTGGAACTCTGCTAATTACTCCTAATGAATAACGGTATACATGGAAAGAACTAGCAGCTTGATTAAGTATATAACCAATGTTCCTTAAGATGCATGGAATAGTTGGGATCGTCCTAAATTTAAGACGTGGGGAGGAAGCATGGTTTTGTTTATTTAATTTCTTCATCTTTTTCTTATAGATTGGGAATATTATGATCTTTTGCATATTTCATCACACCCCAATATAAATTATAAGCTGCTAGCTCCATCAATATTAACCAGTGCCGTCGTCGTGCGAACCTCGTCTTGGTTTCATCTGCCATTTTTACAGTTTTCTGCTTTCTCTTTATGATTTTCAAATATTCTACGTACTACTCCTTTGCTTCCTTTAGTGCCAGCAAGCAATTCCAATTAAAGATAGTACTCCAATTCATATTTCATATACCCCATGCGTTCCTTTGCTTCCAGATTACCACACATTCGAGATTTTTTTATCCATTCGTTTCATTTTATTTCCTTAATTTTATAAAGTAATTTTTTTTATCCTTTTTAATCCTATCATTAGTTTTACTATAAAAAAATATACAACTTTTAAATATTAATAAAATAATTTCAAATATTGAGATATTAAATTTAATATTTTAAAATAATTATGATTGGCTCAAAAAAGTATCCTTTGAGTTAAGATGATTGAAAGAGTCTTCGTAAAATTCAGAAACTAAATTGAAACTTCATGAAAAAAGTGATGTTGATTCCATTGTACTTGACATACCATTATATGATTGGTTGATTTTTTTTTTTTTGGGCCAGTATGATTGGTTGATTCTAGTAACGTAATTCTTCTTACATACCATTGTCTTTGTAAGTTATTTTCTTTAAAAAAAAATCATTTTCTCCAATTAATTTGCTAATCATGTTCTTTCCTAATTTTTTTTTTTCAACTTTTTCCGTTGATTCGTATTTGGCGTCCTGACCTGATGCAGGAAAAAAAAGTCAAAAATATACAAAACTTCTCCAAACTTTAAGGTAAATTTATATGACTCCCCTCACATTTTAACATTTAAAATTAACCCCTCTAATCTTTAATTTTATTTTCAAAACCCTGTACCATTATATTAATGCAATATACATGTCAAATGATATTGAAAAACATTTTTTTTATTTTTTTTAAACACAATTTAAGAGGTAAAATTGTACACATGATGGTATTTTCATTTTTATAGTTGAGAGAAATTTTTCTCATCATTCACAGGTAATACAATTTTAAAAAAATTATAATTTTATTATTCTTTATCAATTAAAACAGCCTTTTATATTAAATAAATGAAAAGAAAAATATCTAAAAACTATCATTGATAAGAGTTATATAAATTTTGTTATCTTCTTTTTTGTTTTCTTCAAACTTCAGTATTCAAACAAACAAAAATGTTACTGGTATGTTATAAATAAAATGTGTACCGCTTTAGAATAAGATTTTTTTTTACTATTGATGATTTATATCGATTTTGTTAAAAAAAATTATAAAATATCATAATTTTTTTGTATGAAAGAATAAATTTTATTTATGTGATTCTTATCAATGATAGATTTTAAATATTTTTCTTATGATTTGTTTAATATAAAAGGCTATTTCAATTGATACGGAATAATAAATTGTAACTTTTCTTTTAAATTGTGTTATCCATGGCAATACAAACAATGTATCTTAACTAAAAAATGGTAGCATCATTAGTAAAAATTATAATTTTGTCCCTCCTTAAATTTTATTAAAAAATAATAAAAATATTTTTGTTCCATATCATGTGCAATGTGTATTACCTTAAAATTAAAAGTAATAGTTAAGGTAAGGGGTTTTGAAAAACAAAATTAAAAGTTTGGGGGGTTAATTTTGAATATTTAAAGATGAGAAGGATCATATGTAATTGCCTTAAAATTTGTAGGAGTTTTATGCATTAAATAAATAACTTCACTCAATCTTCCCCATAATTCAACCTATCGCACTTCCCTTGTCCCACTACGGATACACGTACGTTTATTATTAGGCCATAGTGTTCATTACATATAAGTTTTGCTTTTTTATTATTCCAACAAAATTATATTTTTTATTTTCTTTATTTCTATATTTTAATTTCTCATCTTTACTTCATTTTTAATTGATTATAATTTTATTTTTATTTGAAATTAATTTTTTATATATTTCTATTATTATTTTTATCTTCTTTGAAATTAATCAGTATATAATTACAATATTTTAATTTCATAGCAATCAATTTGGTCAAGCTATAGGTTTGACCACAATCTGATTATATATATACAAATTTCTCGACCAGTTCAATAATCAGTTTAGTTTTTAATGCCTTATCCCAACTACATGAATATAATATACTAGAAAGCAAATTGTGACAAAAAATACAATAAATTATATTAGATCAAATGTGTGGTTGAGATTTGTTGGACTGGATTACATGTAAAACTCTCAATTGCTTTGAACCTATGAAACACATGTATGCATATTAAATAACCACAATTTTCAAACCCTAGGTCTTGTCGCCCTATATATACCACATTATCTTTCAACACTAGCGGCCGTCAAAAATTTCATTCGGAGCACAAGGTTTTCTTTTGTTTAGTTGTACTAGCAATTTAGACATGTCATTCATAGAAGTTTTAATTCAAGAAGATGATGAAGAAGAAGCTCAAGAAAAGAGGATGAATATATATGGCTTCAATAAATCAGATCACCGGAGTACCAAATTAAGGTAATTTAGCACTCTCACTATCATGTGCCTTCATATAATCTTTCAAATCTTGCATGCCTAAAGAATGAAATCAACAGTTGTTTTGAGTTTCCATTTACATTAGTTTATGTTTTGATAGGTAAGAATTGAGGATTTTGAGTTGAAACTAATAAAAAATAAAATAATAATAATAAATGTTACATTACAGAAAATATAGAAGATTTGCAACGAATTTGTGATGGAAATTTGTGAAGGAAACAAATCCATTTGCAAATCTGTCACAAAATCTTTTTCAAGACGAATTCATGATGGAAATGCAAAATTCCATGCAAAAAAAAAAAATTGTGACCAAAAAATTTATGATGGACTAATCCGTACTATATCGGTCGCAAACACTTAAATCCATCACAAATCTACCCCAAATTTCCTGTTGTTTTTAGTAGTATTAAGGGAAAATGACAATCAAATAATACCCAGAATATACTAATGATAAATAAACACCCCGGAAGGTGATAGTTATTTTTTAATTTGTACGGAATTGTTTGTCATTTTAGTTTTTTTTTTTGGAAAATGACTTATTTGCCCCTTCCAAACCACGAATCTTAACCAAACCCAACATCCAATTTCTTCCTCTTACCACAAGGGTTTGGCAATTCAGGGGACATGGAGAAATCCATGGGTGACATGTATAGGAGACATAGGAGAAGTTATTCCGGAAGATTCTGAGCTTCACGGAGCATAATTAAGAAGAGGCTTGAAAGAACCTGATTGTTGTGGTTTGATTTGCTTATTATAGGATATGCAAAAGTTAGTACCCTGTTTGATCTGTGCATCTAGGTTCGTGACTGAACTTCAAACCATTTATGCTTATTCCAACATTTTCTTTGTTTATAAGGGTGATCGAAATCGAGTCAAATACTAACGAGGTTGGTTGGTTCATTGGATTACCTTTTTTTTTTTTTTTTAACTATAAACCATTTATGTTGCATCATTCTTGTTGTTTACCTGATTTTTGGTAAAAGTGCAGAAATTTGAGAAGATAATGAGAGCAACACAAGGTGCTCTTATTGTGGCTAGCTTCAACCGTCCAGATTGTCGTTGGCTTCGGTGGTCTTTGGCGCAATATATTGAGGTTGATTGAACCTTTATACTTTGAGCTACTTCATTGGTTTTTTTCCCTGTTGAGTTTTACAGACATATTGTGCCATTTTCTTTGTCAGATTATCTATGCAATTAAGTAATTCTTCTACTTGCATATGCTTGTCAAGAGATGTCATACTTCAATAGTGAATTCATATTATATATATTTGAAGTTATATATTTGTTTTGTTGGTTGGCCGAAAAAATACATTTGTTTTCTGCCTCCTGGTTACTAATCTGGTTTCTATTTCCTTGGGTTCTTAAGTCCTCTCTCTGCTATTTCCTTGATTGCTCTATCAGGCTTTGGCCAGTATGAGTTGGAGTTCTAGTTCCTTTTTCACACGCCTTGAAATATTTAAGACCTTTATAATACCTATTGAATTTCTGTGTTTATTGGTAATGCTGCATATACCTATTTATTTTGTTATTGTTAACTTGGTTAGAGAGTAAAATGATATTACTGGTATGATTGTCCCATGTTACTATTTGTGCCATATATTTAACTCTAAAAAAAATTTACATCTCTTTATTTTGGCAATACTACAAATAATTTGTATCATTTGACCTTGTTCAAATTATCCGTGTCACCCATAAATGAACTAAGAAAGTATCCTTTGGAATGAGTGTCCCAAGTGTGTAATCCGTAGTCCTATTCATTCTCATATCATAAATGTTGATGCTAGTCTCATCCTTTTATATATCGTACGGTTTCATCATTCATTTCTATTAATCCTTAGTTAGCAAGAATTGTTATACATTTAAATAAATTAAATATCTCTTTTATTTTATGACTATTGAATTTTATTTTTTTAATTTTTTTCATTTATTTTAGGGGTGCTTTTCTGGGTTGGAAATCCTACAACCTATAAAAAAACCTTTATTTTTTTTAAAAAAAAATAGTATGCTTTACATTGGTTATCACTGCATTCGATGTCGAATATGGTACTTTCAACATTGATTGCACGTGTTAACCGATATTGAAAGTTATTAATTTTTTAAAAAATTCATACAATTAGTAGCTTCTAATAGTTGTTTTGGAATTGTTGTTTAAGGATTTTTATAACAGCGCTCATTTGATCATTAAAAGTCACTTACTTTTAATATCCCTATAATAACAATGATTTTTTAATTGCTGTCAATACTATTTTTTACTGTTAAAGGTCTATCTTGTAGCAGTGCGTGTCTCCATTGATTTCAGAATTATTATTTTGTACCTGGTTTTTTCTGGATTTCTCCCTGATAAGTTTGATGTTGTGGGTTTAGGTGCAAGCATTTTATCAAAAGGATTAGCTGTTAGAGCCAAGAATAGATTGACTCAACTCATTGATTTCTGAAACAATGTGCCGATGCTGGGAATGTTGAAGCTTGCTATATTTTGGGCAAGGTCAGTATATATTTCATTGCAAAAAAAAAAACTTTGGGAGCATTTTTTTTAACTCTTTCAAAGCATTTTCAAAACACACCGAAAACTTACAAACTAGCGCTTCTAAAACACTCCCATAGTATAGGCTACTATTTCTTAGCAAATAAATCATGCTAACATAAAATACGACATCCTATTACCATCAATTTGTACAAAAAATTTTATTTATACTTTATAGTTTAAGTTAATAAAAAAATATGCTTGTAATTAATAGGAAATTTCAATGGTTAAATATTGCAATATAGGAGACAAGTGTCCCATGCATGAATAAAGTTAATTTTGATTCAAAAAAGGAAGTCGTCATTGATGAAAATCCATATTCAAAAACGAAACAAGATTGTTTAATTTATAGAACTTCTTTGAAAAGAATTTATATATGTGGAGACAAATGCTACTATTTGGACCTGCCATGCTATATATACTAACTTATTAACGGCTTGTTTGTTTAATATTAAAAAAAATAAGTAATTCTTAAATAGTTTTAGAAATTTTATAAAAATCAAACATTATTTTTGTTTTGTTATACTAATAAAAAGGTGATTTTTAATTTGGTATTTTTAAATGTTATGATTTCTTCCTTAACTTTTGTTTCATAAAAATAGTTTATTATTTAATTATTTTAAAATTTTATGATATTTTCATGTGTCCCGCATTTTTAAAACATTCTCTCTCGTCTCCCACGTCAGATTATTTTTAATAACTACTTAAAGTAGCTAGCTTCTTAAAATAATTAAAAATATTTTTTTGCATTATAATTATTTTTAAAAGTTTAAAAACATATCATAAAAACTCATAAAATAGATTTTACTTTTCAAGAAATAGGTGGTGGATTGTTGATATGTCTCTATTGTTAGGGTTCAACAGACAAGAGCCAGAGGAAGAAGCATTCAGAGGCTGAAACATGAAGCAGTACAAGGCAATAAGCCCTGAGACCATACTTGTTGCAGAAACTTTAAGAGCCATATTTAATCTGTATATGTCTGATGATGATATATGTATTATCAATGAATGAGGGGTTTAGTGTGTATATATGCTAGTAAATTAAACCCAACACCAAGCTTGTAACAATGATTGAAGAAGAAGAAGAAAGCTTGGGAGGTGGGCCTGTGGTGTTGGAATATAGATCTCACACACGCACACACACGCACACACAAACACACACACGTATGTGAAGTAGCAGCTCCATCTAGAAGACTGTTGGGCCTGGGGAGCATCTCGGAAGGGTAGTGTATTTTCAGTCCTTCTATCTTTGTAAGTGTTTGATGCTGTGGTAGCGTATTTATACATGTTTGTCTAGACCACACGTTTTATTTGAAAGAAGTAGCTAGCTAGGAAAATTATTACGATCACATTATAAACATCTTAAGCTTGTTCTTTGAAATATAGTCTAAGTGTGGGTACAATGTAAACTGGAAACAAATAAACTTGTCGATTGGGATATGATAATGGAGATTGTTCTAGTTATTGTACGTTAAAGTCCCTAATATAAGTTCAAAATCTTCAACCTTGTTTATATTGTTCAGCTACTTGAGAAAGTTCATATATATTGAGATTTATGTGTAACTTCTTCAATTGATAAAATTCAGATCTCATAAAGACAAACGCTCCTCATACACTTCTGAGAAAGGTTTACGAGCGATGAAATTTATATATAGAAGTGAAAGTGTTGGCAGAAACACACAAATACTTGACATGTTCCCAAGCAGTCAAAATTCTCCTGAAAAAGCCAAGAGCTAATGGAGTCCATCATCAATCAGTACTTCTTTCTGCAATTGCTTTTGGTGAAAACTTTTTCATTTGTAAAGCTTTGATTTAGTTTCATAACGAGAATGAATTATATACATAAGTCTTGTTGGCTACTTTTTGTTTTTAAAGAAAGAATGAAGGTATTACCCCTTAAAGCTCAAAAGTTGATGGGGATCTTCTTTTTCCTTATAGAAAAAATATAAACTTATAACAGAAAAAAGAAAAAGAAAACAAAGTCGGAAAGTCAAAGTAATAATGGAGAGTTAAAAGAGAAAGACAGGGAACTATCATGAAGTGTGTGGCTGTAGTTGGTTTTCACAAAACACAACTGATAAAACATTTCAAGAGGGAATTGATATTCTTGATAAATAAAGAATTTTATATATTTTATTCTACCTTTTCCGTACATTTTAATGAGTTTTTTGGGCTAATTTGAATTTAACTATTAGAAATTATTAGGATTATTATCCAATTCTAAACAACAATATATTTTTGAATTAATTATGAGAATTTTGGGTTTCAATTGTGAATATTTTATTTTTATATTCTTAACATGGTTTAATTTTGCTGGTTTTTAATTGAGTTTAATTTGAATTATTATACATTATTTGAGTTTTTAGCCATTTTGTGGGAAAATTGCAATTATTGAAAAAAATTAATTTTGAAATATTTTTTTTTACACATGAGGTTTATTTTGGACAAAGCATACACTAATGGGTGCATTTGATTTTTTAGGCTTTGGAGATAAAATTAGTGGAACTTAATGGTGAAGTTAGAGTCTTGTGAATTAAAAGAGAATTCAAGGGTTATGAAGAAGTAAGGCAAGGAAAGAATTTTCAAGGTTTTTCAAGGATACAATGGACATTTATAACTAAAGAAAATTAGAGAACATTTTCACTTTCTTCTTTTTATCTTTTTTCTCAATAGTCCATTTTGAATTTGATGGTTGAAATTTTTCTTCAATTGTAAACCCTCTCTTCTGGTCATTAGATCATAATTCCCTAATTTATCACACTCTCAGCTGCAACCCTATTTTCTCCTTTCTTCTTTTGGGACACTCTTTGGTTTTTTTCTTCTTCGCCTGCAACTTCTTGGTCCACATTTTTTCCCCTCTTCGTCCAGTTCTCTCCACATCACTCCATTATTGTATTCTTCCACTCCATTCATCATTTAACTTCACGCCACCTCACATGTACTCATTCTTCAATTTCATTTTATACCCACGGACCCATAACCATCAACGCATCATCTTCTCTCCTCTACAATCATCACTGCACACACTCCGTGTTCCATTAACTTCACGCCACCTCACTATATCCCTCTCTCATCCACCTCTCTATTGCCATGAGTTTCATATTGAGGAACCTCACAAGTGGTGTGAGATTTATAAGTTTAAGATGCTTTCCCACCCAACAGGCTAATTTGTTGGGTGGTGGTATCACTCCCTTCGAACTTGTGGTCTCAAAAAGGGTCCCTCATGAAGGGTTTTGACTAGTCACAGCTAAGTGAAGTACTGTGAAGCAAGAGCCACTGAAATTATATGATTGGAGGGCACTCATACCACACTATTATTTTAAGAATCACAAAAAGAGCTACTCATAGAGAGTTCTAACCAATCAATGGCCAAGTGAAGTGCCATAGAGTGAAGCTATCATGCCCCAAACATTAGACGTGATCGGCACAAGATATATGAACTAACACATATCCCTTAAAGCTTGATCAAGAAAACTCTAATCAAATATCTTAATTCATGTGAAAAGGGATTGGAAATCTTTGTAAAATTTTTATATAAACAAAAGGATCTCTAAACTTCATGCAGAAATTTTGGCAAAATCTTCCTTATAAATAGAACTTTTCAAAGTTTTTACAATAGTGATATACAGTCTCAATCAATAATGCAAAACTTTACTCCTCCACAACAGGTAGACAATATAGATTACAAATTTGAATCCTAACTATAGTTAACATGGAGCACTTAAAACAAAATTTTAAAATATAATACATAATTAAATAGTTACATCAAAAGCAAGATATTTTCAAAGAACTTTTGATTAGTTTAGCAATGAGCCGCCAAAGGTCAATAAGAGGTACAATGTTAGCTATGCTATCTAAGACCAAATAGAATACTTTTTAGTGAATAATGTCCCAACATTTATAACATTTAAAAGAATAAAATAAATAAATAACAATGATTATAAAGTTAAAGAGACAATAATTTCTTATAAAATATTTCAGCAAATAATTTTTTTCAGGAATTTATCAGAATAATTAACGAATGTGGATATACAATCTATGAGGGTAAATAACCAAATATAGCTTATGTTATGGAGACAAATGTGAATATATAGTTCATGAGGGTAAATAAGTAAGCACAGCCTAAGCTATAAAAATAAACGTGAACATACAGTCCACGAGACCAAATGCAACTTGAGTTATGAAAAAAATATGGAAATACAGTCCACAAGAATAATGTTGACCAAACGTGACTTGAAGCTATGAAATCAAACGTAAGTGTTAATCCCAATGAATAACAAACGTGAGAACAAAACTCATAAAAATCAACTAGCTAGTTATTGACTATAGTGCGCTAAGGGCTAACAAAACTGCCATTACTAACTAGTGTTCTGTATAAAGTCCCTTTCAAATCCATTTTTCAAACATGCGAGAAAATAATCACTATAAAAAATACAATTCCATTCTCAAAATCAAACTCGCATGAATAGCTTTTGGCATCAAAATTTGTCAGAATAAAATTTCATAACTAACTTCCATGTTTGCATTTATTGAAAGACCAAAATTAACAAAGCTGATAAAAATAATTTTATCAATCTTGAAGGTATACTTTATAAGGAAAAATAATGCACATGCCATAATTTAATTATTCTTTACCATCTCTTTATAATATCACAAAATAAAAAAAATAAATAACAAAATATTCAATACTTAACATAGTTGTCACTAAGATAATCTACCTACAAAATGTAATATTTCAAAAAAATAATTTTATAAATAAATTAATTGGGACTCTGTGCACTTAGCTAGTGTACTCCCAAGTCTTACAACTTACTTCAAATAAACCGCTTTAGTAAAACTTTCACTCTAAGATTCCCTAATACCCAAAGCAACACTATTAACATTTTCACTCCACAACTTTGTAAAAGCATAAACATATTCTTTTAATGAACTTTTATAATTAACATCATTCAGAAAGTAGAAAGGGATTCTTAACATCAATCTTTTTGTATATAAGATGACACCATCAGTTTAGTGTACCATTTGCCATAACACATGTATATATACAATATCCATACTTCCTATCACACTCTCTACATATATATCTCCAACAACATTTATGTTCTGATATAAATATAAAGTTTGAATAATCATAATTCCTATCAATTTCTCCTTTGAAAAAATTTATCAAACACTTGCATCAAGGTTGAATTTGTAAGCAAGCATCAAGCATTGTCCCTACTATTTCCTTCAATCCGATTCCATCATATAAGCATACCGAGTAGTATCAGCATGACCTCTTACTTTCTAAAATTTAACAAAATATAATAAATTCATAATCACAAAATTTCAGCACAAATGCTATATTTACATAAATTCTCCCAGAACTGATTCTAGTTTCAAAAGCCCAAATGGAAAGACTAAAAGAACACTTCTATTCCTACCGTCTTAAATGCACGGTCAATACAAGAGATGAAGTATTTAACATCTATACACGCCTAGGCAATAGAAACGAAGAGAACATCCAATAAAAACACACCCACACCAAGAGAATCACACGGCCACCAGAAATTTATAAACCAGCAGCAAATTTAACAAGAAATAGTAGGGAAAAGGAGGGGTTTTGAGCCCACCACTTCAGATCCACTCACAATATTACAAAGAGGGATTCGAATATTCATACCTCAAACAGCAATGAGAAAACAGAGAAGAAGCGAGATAGAAGGAAACTAGCTGTACAAATAAGAAGGAAGATGACCCTCGTGCACCCAACGGCGGCACAAAGGTGGAATGGAGAAGACTACAGCAAATTTCAGCGTCTGTGCATCACCAAGAGGAAAAGGATGAGGAATCATTAATGAGGCAGGGGAGAGGAAAAATTCACGAATCAGACCCCAAGATGGCGCACTCACCCATGTCGATGAAATGGGCATCAAAGGGAGAAGGAGAATGAAGATTAAGGAAGGCAAGGGTTTTTCATTAAGGTTCTCTCCACTCTCGGTCACTCACACTCACAGAGTTGAAGAAATGGGGAAGAGGAAAAGAAATCCTTGTGCGCACGTTATGATTATTCTGATATGTATTAGTATGTGTATATATATTTAAGAGGGACATATTGGTAATTTGCGGAGACTGTAGAACAAAATAAAATTCCTCCCTTTGCACAAGGATTCGATTTATTAGAGACTTGGAGGTAGACATCAATGACAATGACCACTAAGCCACCGAGTTTACCAAGATAAGTTTGCTCTATAGGAATATATATATATATATATATACACACACAATATAATTAAATACCTTACCATTAATTTTAATCTAACTAGAATCTTTAGGTTATTACAGAGGCTGCCATGAACATCGGCTCTTAACGGAGAGATATTATCATGAGTCTTACATTAAGGAACCTCTCAAGTATTGTGAGGTTTATAAATTTAAAAGACTCTGCCACCCAATAAACTAGTCTATTAAGTGGTGATACCATTCTCTTTAGGCTTGTGGTCTTGAAAAGGGTTGTTCACAGAGGGTTTTAATCAGCCACGGTTGAGTTAAGTGCTGTAGAGCAAGAGTTGCCAAATTATACATCTAGGGGGCACTCCTATGAGGCTAATCTTTTGACATGGGCTTTCCTTTTAGGCTTATTCTCGTTACATCCATGTTACATCATTTCCTATGGTCGTGACCTTTTGCTTAGAGCTTGGAGGATGATCACCATTCATGGAAGCTTGAGCTAAATGGGGAGACAACTTGGGATGAATATAGAGGAAGCTAAAACCTAGGATTTACACGTAAAAATCATAGAGGAGTGATTTTTCATTTATCTTTTTAATTCAAGAGCTTAGAATTATTTAGTTTTAAGTAATTTTAAGTTGTAATACTTGAGTACAATCTAGTTTTAGGTTATAAATATTTTTGAATTGGATTGATTTTTGGATTGAATTTGAGTTGAATGAATTTATGGATCGCATTTATGCTTATATACTTTTTCTTTGCTAGTTAAATTAATGATTGAGTTCTCATTGTTAATTTACTTGTTATTGTAGTACTTGTTGCAAACTTGAGTTGTTTTTTTTTTTACCTCTTGATTGATCAATTGAGTTAGTAATTTATCTAATTATTCAATCAAATAATTTAAATTTATTTTCTAAATTTATTTTGAATTAATCATCATTAGTTTTAATAGGTTTAATTTTCCTAATTCATAGTTGTAGCATTTGATTCACTATGAATTCTCTACTAGATTAAGTATTAGACTTTGTCTTTATGGGTTCTCTTTTCTTTAATTAGGTAATTAAATTTATTAATTTCACACTCCTTTCATTTCCCTTTGGTTTAACTAATTTAGTTGTGTTAGGAAAGTTAACTCTATCTAAAGTCCTTAAGTTGCCCCATTTATCAAAATTAAATAAAACTTTTCTAAATTTTTGGTTAATTAATAATTTTTGTCACTTAATAATTTCTTTAGTTTATATTTCATTTTTTTCTTGAAACAAGCAGCCCAATCATAATTTTAGACTCATGCATTGCATAATAGAATTTAGGTATTAGACATAAGTATTAGCATCCATCTAGGTAGTTTTAGTTGCACTAATTGCATTTTCTCATTTGCATTTTAGAATAGTAATATTACATTTAGTTTTAGATCTTTTTGCATTAGTATTTACATACCTAGAATCAAATTAAAATAATCTCTAAATTGCTCCTTGAAAAGAATGATCTAGAGTTTGCTTATGTTATATTAAGTCAATCTTAATTTAATTGAGTGTTGATACAACTAAGGCATCATCAATCCTACTGCACAATGCTCTGGTTTGCACTACTTTGATTCTTGATTCCAAGACTAAGCCCTTTGAAGCAAATTTTAAGAGAGCGTTATTGATCCCAAGATATTTTGAGATAGCATTATTGATCCCTAGATATCCTAAGTGGTTTAAGTTTCTGATTGAGATCAATAAGCTTTTGATACATGATTATATGAATAGATCTAGTGGTAGAAAAGCTAATTTTCGAAATATCTAACTCTGGTTTTCTTCTTCAATGCAGAGGATAAATTTTAATTTTTATTATCATTAAATAACATGTCATTTATATTATTTATTTTAATCTTTCTTTTGTACTTCTTGAGGTTATTGTATTATTTATTTTATTATTCATATTTATAATTATAATATATAAAAAATATAAATAATAAATAATAAAAATATAGATGATTATATATTAGTTTATAATTATTTATTATTCTAGGTAGTTTTAATTAAAATTAAAAATATAGATGATTATACATTAGTTTATAATTATTTATTATTCTAGGTAGTTTTAATTAAAATTTTATTTTCACTTTCAATTAACAATAACTCTTAAGTAAAGTAATTGACTTGTTTTTATATTACATTTTTATTTTTTAAATGATAATTTTATAAGAAAATTATACACTATATTATCTATTTTTTTTTATATTTATGTCTCAAGATAGCATCAAACAAAAAATCATATACCATCACATATTTTATATATTCTAAAAATTAAAAATAAAATTTTAAAATGTATCATTTTTCTTTTTATTTTTCTCTTCACTATCATTAGTATTCCAATTAGAAACCTCTAAACTAGCATTAAGCTTCAAAGCTTAACCATGAGGATCAAAGTTATTGATATTAAATGTCGAATTTGAATGAAAAATTAGATTATTTGAAATATCATTCTATAAATGAATAATATTAACTATCACATGTTTATTTATTATAAACAAATAGCGATGTTGTTTAAAATATTAATTTAATCATAAAACAGACGAAAATAGAGACTCATCACCACATTATATGCATTCCAAATTAAAATATCAAATAATAGGTTTTTGAACGAATTTATTACTTTATGTAGGAGTGTGCATTGGTTGATTAAGTTAAATTTGATATTAATTTACTAAAACCATGAACTATATGGGCCTAAATAGTTAGACTGAATCAAATTGAACATTGTTTAATAAACATTATTATCATTAAATAATACCTTAACTTTATCTTAAAACATATATAAAATGAAAACTCACCACCTTATTTTATTTATATCATAAAATTACAGTAATACAACAAAATTAATATCTTAAAATATTAAATATTGGATTAAATAAAAAAATTATGATGATGATATCTAGTTACTATTGATTGTCATTTTTTAGCGGGTGATTGTTCTAAAAGTCACATTTTCTATGACATCTCTAAAAAGTCATTATTGATTATAAACTTTTAGTGGAAACTTATTATTATTAAATAATACCTTTAAATGGGTTTAATTTGTAAAGCTTAATTGTTGTTGAAAGTTTGACAATTAATGATAACTTTGTAGAGGTGATGTTGAAAGTGTGACTTTTAGTGGTGAATTTGACAATTATTATTTTAGTGGCGAAAGTTGCCACTGAATATATATATAAATATATATATACATACTGTAGATGTTCTACATTAGTCATGAGAGCCACTCGGATGGCTGCCATAAGAACACTCATATCCTTTGGGCGCTTTTATGCTTCCAAATCACATTCCATCTAGCATCCTTGGAAGTCCAATCATCCTCCATGATAAGCTCATACCCATATTTCACCGAAAACTCTCCATTAGAGGATTAAATTTTATTCATGATTTTGGCAAGCTACACGGTCTAATTACTTCATTAAAAAATGAGTAATTACATTGTTATATAAGTTATTTTCGTTCGATTAAACTAATTTTAAAATTACTATGCATATCCACTTCTTCATATTTGAATATTAAGTTATAAAATTCATGCTATAATTGACTGGAATAATTTTTTTATGTAATATTTAGATATTTATAAATTTGAAAACTATTAATTTAATTATGGTAAATTGAAATATGGTTAACTCATGAACATTGAATTCGTGTTATTATAGCTTAATGAGCAATGATGGGCTCTCCAGTTGGCATAGTTTTATATACCATCGGGGGTCAGTAGACCCAAAAAAATAGAAACAAAAATCACTAGAACTGAATGTTGAAGATATAATTAATAGTAGAAATTAAACGGATATTTGATATTGTAACATATGGAGATATATTACAATCAATGATAATTCCATTCTATTTGAAGAATTAAAATGATGATAGTGTTGGAAAATCCAATAGAAAAGATTATTTGACTCATATATTAGGACATTATTTTTAAGAGTTATTTCACCACACTGATTAAATTGTGATAGTTCCTTAGGATTAAATGAACCATTCCTAAACAAATAAGGTGATTGAATAGCATAAATATAAACAAGAAAGGTAGAACTCATGAGGAGGAGGAAGAGAAGCTTGAAAATTCAATAGAGGTGGGTTCACTAACAACCTATATGGACACATGCTAATGGTGATTTAATATAATTTAATGGTTTTAAATATAATTAAATATTTCTTAATGACTATTAAGGAAAAACTGTGTCTAAATTGTAATTAATGGTAATTAAAGTGCCCGGCACCACATGGAAAAATAGTCCAACTCTCAACTATATTGGCATGTTTTTACATGCGTGTGCCCATTTCTCTTATTAAACCATTTATACTTGCTCAAGTTCTCATCTTAATATATATATATATATATATAGTTATGGTATTAATTGCATTTTCTCAATATTACCCCTATTTGAATTCAATAACTATGAAAGAGAATGTAATGCAAATTTAAAAATTTTTTATTTAAATAGGAGTAAAATTAGAAGTTTATTATTATTTTTAGACAAAGTTAATAATTTAACCACATCTCCTCAATTTCAATGAGGAAATTAAAGGTGCTTTATAATAGAGATCAGAGAGAGCACACGAGTATAATACACTAGCAAGAAAATTGTGTCAAACAAATACAATGATTAAATATTAGATCAATTGTGTGGCTGAGATTTGTTGGATTAATTACTTGTAAAACTCTCAACTGCATTGAATCTATATGCATGAAACACATGTATGCAAATTAAATAACCACAATTTTGAAACCCAAGCTAGGTCTCGTGATCCTATATATACCACATTATCTTTCCAAAGTATCGGCCGTCAAATTTCATTCGAAGCATAAGGTTTTCTTCTTTTCATAGTTGCACTAGCGATTCAGACATGTCATTCATAGAGGTTTCAATTCAAGAAGACGATGATGAAGAAGCTCGAGAAAAGAGAATGAATATATCTTCAATAAATCAGATCACCGGAATACCAAATTAAGGTATTTAGAACTGATTATCATTTGTCTCATGCATATGATCTTTAAATCTTGAATGCCCAAAGAATGAAATCAACAATTGTTGAGTTTCATTACATTGGTTTAGGTTAATAATTTTTTCATGTTTTATCTTTTTGTCAATTTTTTTCTTAGATTGAGAATTTTATTTCACACAATTTTCCTTTTTGCTAAAAAAAATTAATAGTTAATGTTTATACTACAAGAAAACAGCAAATTTGCTACGAATTTGTGACAAAAATTTGTGAAGGAAACAAATCCATTGCAAATCCGTCACAAAAGTTTTTCCATGACAAATCTTTGATGGAAATGTGAAAATCCAACCCAAAAAATAAATAAATAAATAAATTGTGACCAAGAAATTTATGACGGACTAATCCGTGCTACCTCCGTTGCAGACACCCCAAATTCATTGCAAATCCGGACTTATTTTATGTTGTTGATATGTCTCTGTCACTACTTTTTAGCAGACGACACCCACAGGAAGAAGAAGCATTCAGAAGAAGAAACATGAAGCAGCACAAGGTAATAAGCCCTGAGACTAGTTGCAGAAACTTTAAGAGCTATAATTAATCTGTCTCTGATGATGATATATGTATGTATATGTATAATCAATAAAAAGGTGATTTGTGTATATGCAAATGAGTATATTTATGTGTCTTTTCCATTTATATATCTCTTTTCTAGCATAGACATTTGCTCTTAGGGACGTTATTAGCCATGCACACTCTTTAGCTAGGGAAGCACATTTGCATTGGATTTTTATTGAGGTATATATGTGAATTCTTTTGCTTTTGGGTTAACTGGTGCAATTTTTGTAAAGAGGCGCATTCTTGTATATAGCTTTCGCCAAAACCTTTTTCTTTGTATATTCTAGAGATGTGTGCATGTTGAATCCTATTTTCTAAGCCCGTTGTGATCTAGTCATTGTTGTTACTGCCAATTAATTTGCATTCCTTGTTGCTATGATGTGATCAATAATAATGATGTATCATTGTTACATTTCTCCAGAGAGATTTTAGTTTGATAGGTAGAACTAACGTGTTGAATTAGGAGAATCCCCACATGATAGTTTAACGTAATTAATTATTATGATATGACCAGAATTCTATTGCTCTTCCGCCTCATGTTTGTGTGTCTGTGAAGAATTGGAGACAGTTAAACGCATGTAGTTAGTGAATTCTAGCTCAGTATAATATGAACTTCAGATTCATGAATAATTAAGTTTATCTTTAATTTCCTGGAATATATATTGACTTTGATACAACATTGAATGGACAGAATCTGCTGACTCTGGAATCATCCAACAAATGTGACGATGGTGGTCCTTTAATGCATTCCAGGGGCTTCAGATTATTCATCTTTTCTCAATGCCTTGTTCTGGACTTGTCATCCCATTCGTCTGATGGTCTTGATGAATAAAGAAGAAACCCTAAAATCACCTCACAGGTTTGGTTTCATTCGCGTTATTGATGCAAAATTTCAGGAAAATTTTATACATAAATATACATACACTCTTTAACCTTTGATGGAGAGAACCTTTTTTCATCTTTATTCATTCCAAAGTCGTGCACTCTTAGTCAATCCCAGTAATGTCAATGATCCAATCATAAATCACAGGTGCCCAGCAGGAAAAGTACATTCCAATTAAAAGACATGCACTCAAGTTAGACAAGTATCTCTCTTTCTTTCTTTCTTTCTTTTTTAGTTAGGTACATGTATCTTGTTAAAAATAATTCTATTTGAGATACAATTGGATATTAAATATAAACATTTTTTCCAACATTTAAACATTGATTTGTTATGTTGTTTTGTCTTCATTTTTATTAGTAAAATGTAACAACATATGCAACTCAAAACTTCTATTCGATTATAAATTTAATAAGGAGAATTACTGTAAAGTTCCTGCAAATTCATTCAATTATCCTCAAGTCTCATAAAATGCTTAAATTGTCATCAAATCCCAAATCCCCATGTAATTACAAAAATGCCCTTACATCTTGAAGACTGTTGGGCCTCGGGAGCATCTTGGAAGGGTAGTTTATTTTCAGTCCTTCTATCTCTGAAGTGTTTGATGTTGTGGTAGTGTATTTATACATGTTTGTCTAGACCACACATTCTATTTGAAATAAGTAGCTAGCTAGGAAAATTATTACGATCACATTATAAAAATCTTAGGCGTCTTCTTTAAAATATAGTCTAAGTGTGGGTACAATGTAAATTGGAAACAAATAAACTTGTTGATTGGGATATGATAATGATTATTACGATCACACCGTGTCACCTTGCCCATGTGTGCGCCACATCACGTCACTTTGCCACCACGTGTCATGTCACAAATTCATTACGAAATATACTTAAGTCAGGATTTGAATCCATAATCTCCACCTCCCAAGCTTTAAGTTTTTCTTTTTGTCAGTTGACATGAAATACACCTGTAGTTGTTATATACAAAATTAAATATATATTATTTAATTACATGCACATATATCAAATAATATATTATTAGAAATATATACACATATATTATATTATATTTTCATTTGTTAATATGATAAAATAATGTATATGAGTGCATATATATATTATATTTTTTAATAAAATATTATTTTTGTTGTATCAAATATTATTTTTGTTAGGAAAATGAACTTAAAATGAAATAATTTTCTTATAAACATTTTAACCAATTTTTAAATTTTATTTTTATTTTTTAAATGAAAATAATTAAGTATATAATTTATTTATAAATATGTATTGTATTAGTTTATGTTAAATATCTTTTACTTTTGTTTATATTTTTCTCAAAATTTAATAAATAAATGATTAAACTTTTATCTTCTCCCAAGTTAAATTCTTCCCCTTCTTTGATTAAAAATAAATTTTATCTATAATTTTTCAATTATCTTAAAAAATATCTTAATAAAAAATTTATTTTAATCATATAAATTTTGTTAATAGTAATTTTGCACAATTATTCTTTATTATCTTTGAGATAGGAAATGGGTGGACATGTGATAAACTAAAAGTAGATGCTAAAAAAAAAATCTAAATTAAAAACCTAAGTGGATATTTCATAATCAAAATAGAAAGAATCTTATCTTGACTCAATCTAGATTAGTTTAAATTTTTATTAAAGTCTCTTTAATAAATTCAAGCTTAAGATAATAGGAAATACTTCCTGATAACTTTAAAATTTAAAATAAATAAACTTTAATAATTTATATATAATTTCATCCATAACTCAAATATTAACATAAATTAAACAATCAAGTTTAAAATTCTCATCCAATAATAATCCCAACAAATTTGACTCTAAAAATTAAATAATTTGAATAATTTGAAGAACAAGAATCAGATGAAAAAACACTACCACATAATACTCTCATACTAGACGCTTATTTTTGTTAATAATTGCTGGTTTTCAATGGTCAAGTAATAGTGCGATGTATATTATAGCAAACTTTACTTGACAACTAAAAACCAGCAAGTATTTTCTACCTATTTTATTTATTGCTTATTTTAAATAATCATCAAATATGGAGCGTCTTATTTAAATAATCATGTGGTAGTGAAAGGTAGAGCTCAATAGACGGCGTAGACACCATGTAATATATACCAAGCCGAGCATCAAGTATGCAATGTGTCGAATAATCTACAATGCTATTTACATTTTACAATATCTATACAACTTTAACATTTCAATGCTATTTTTGTATATGTATGTAAGTAAATAAGTATTATATATAACTTAGTCTAACTATAATTTAAAGAAATTTTTTTGAAATAATTCATAAAAAGTTATAAGAAAATAATTCATTTATAATTTATATATAACTTTGCTTGATTATGTATACTAGCTTAATAAGATCATTATTAAAAAATAATCCATAAGAAATTTTTTTAAATGTAATTATTAAAATAAGATTATTATTATTAGTTTAGGAAGATAATTATTTTTAAAAGTAATTATTATTGATCTTATATATAATTTATTTCTCATTCCATATACAAATACCCTTAGTGGCAGCAAGTTTTGCCACTAAAAATAATTATGTAAATTAATTTTTATAAAAATATTTTTAATTATTTAATTTTTTTTATGAAAATACTTTTGATGGTGTCAACTTGTCACCGTTAAAAGTAATATTACATAAATTATTTTTAATTTTTTGATTATTTTCTTATGAAAATACTTTGTTAAAAGTAATTACATAAATTATTTTTAATTTCTTAATAAATTTTTACAAAAATATTGTTGATGGCGATAGTTTATCACCACCAAAAATATTTATATAAATTATTTTTAATTTTTTATTTAATTTTTATGAAAATACTTTTGGCAGTAACAAGCTAAAAGTAATTACATAAAATTTTTTTAATTTTTTAATTTTTTTATGAAATTACTTTTAGCAGCGACAAAGCTAAAATTAATTACGTAAACTATTTTTATTTTTTAATTTATTTTTATAAAAATACTTTTTGTAGCTATAATTTGTTGCTAGTTAAAGTGATTGTATAAATTTTTTAATTTTTAATTATTTTTTATGAAAATATTTTTGGCCACGACAAATTTTAACCACTAAAAGTTATTACTAAAATTATTTTTTTTTAATTATTTTTTATAAAAATAATTTTGGCGACTGTATAATTGCATAAATTTTTTTTAATTTTTTAATTATTTTTATAAAAATGCTTTTGGTAGTGATAACTTGGCGCTACTAAAAGTGATTTTTAGTGGCCGTAATTAAAAGTCATCACTAAAAATTTACTTTTGATGGTGACTTCTAGCAACAATTTCTAATTGTCGTCGTCATGGTGAAAACTTTTTTGTTATTGCTAAAGTCGCTGCCAAGATTTTTATTTTTGTAGTGAATATGAACAAGGTTGAAAGAGGAAGAGAAGCTTGAAAGTTCAATAGCGGTGGGTTCACTAACAACCCACAAAGGCACATGCTAATGGTGATTTAATACAATTTAATGGTTTTAAATATAATTAAATATGGTTTAATGGCTATTAAGGAAAAACCATTTCTAAATTGTAATTAATGGTAATTAAAGTGCTTGACACCACGTGGAAAAATAATCCGACTCTCAACTATATTGGCATGTTTTTATGTGTGAGCCCGTTTATCTTCTTCATTTACTTGCTCAAATTCTCATCTTATATATATATATATATATATCTAGTTATAGTTATGGTATTAATTACATTTTTTCAATATTACCCCTATTTGAATTCAATAACTATGAAAGAGAATGTAATGCAAATTTAAATGTATTTTTTAAATAGGAGTAAAATTAGAAGTTTATTATTATTTTTAGACAAAATTAATAATTTAATCACATCTCCTCAATTTCAATGAAAAAATTAAAGGTGCTTTATAATAGAGATCAGAGAGAGCACATGAGTATAATACACTAGCAAGAAAATTGTGTCAAACAAATACAATGATTAAATATTAGATCAATTGTGTGGCTGAGATTTGTTGGATAATTACATGTAAAACTCTGAACTGCATTGAACCTATATGCATGAAACTCATGTATGCAAATTAAATAACCACAAGTTTGAAACGCAAGCTAGGTCTCGTCATCCTATAAATACCACATTATCTTTCAAAAGTATCGGCCGTCAAATTTCATTCGAAGCATAGGTTTCTTCTTTTCATAGTTGCACTAGCGATTCGGACATGTCATTCATAGAGGTTTCAATTCAAGAAGACGATGATGAAGAAGCTCGAGAAAATAGAATGAATATATCTTCAACAAATCAGATCACCGGAATATCATTTGTCTCATGCATATAATCTTTAAATCTTGAATGCCCCAAGAATGAAATCAACAATTGTTGAGTTTCATTTACATTGGTTTAGGTTAATAATTTTTTCATGTTTTATCTTTTTGTCAATTTTTTCTTAGATTGAGAATTTTATTTCACATAATTTTCCTTTTTGCTAAAAAAATTAATAGTTAATGTTTATACTACAAGAAAACAGCAAATTTGCTACGAATTTGTGACAAAAATTTGTGAAGGAAACAAATCCATTGGAAATCCGTCACAAAAGTTTTTCCATGACAAATCTTTGATGGAAATGTGAAAATCCAACCCAAAAAATAAATAAATAAATAAATTGTGAGCAAAAAATTTACGACGGACTGATCCGTACTATCTCCATTGCAGACACCCCAAATTCATTGCAAATCCGGACTTATTTTATGTTGTTGATATGTTTCTGTCACTACTTTTTAGCAGACGACAGCCACAGGAAGAAGAAGCATTCAGAAGAAGAAACATGAAGCAGCACAAGGTAATAAGCCCTGAGACTAGACTTGTTGCAGAAACTTTAAGAGCTATAATTAATCTGTGTCTGATGATGATATATGCATGTATATGTATAATCAATGAAAAGGTGATTTGTGTACATGCAAATGAGTATATTTATGTGTCTTTTCCATTTATATATCTCTTTTTCTAGCATAGACATTTGCTCTTAGGGACGTTATTAGCCATGCACACTCTTTAGCTAGGGAAGCACATTTGCATCGGATTTTTATTGAGGTATATATGTGAATTCTTTTGCTTTTGGGTTAACTGGTGCAATTTTTGTAAAGAGGCGCATTCTTGTATATAGCTTCAGCCAAAACCTTTTTCTTTGTATATTCTAGAGATGTGTGCATGTTGAATCCTATTTTCTAAGCCCGTTGTGATCTAGTCATTGTAGTTATTGCCAATTAATTTGCATTCATTGTTGCTATGATGTGATCAATAATAATGATGTATCATTGTTACATTTCTCCAGAGAGATTTTAGTTTGATAGGTAGAACTAACGTGTTGAATTAGGAGAATCCCCGCATGATGGTTTAACGTAATTAATTATTATGATATGACCAGAATTCTATTGCTCTTCCGCCTCATGTTTGTGTGTCTGTGAAGAATAGGAGATAGTTAAACGCATGTAGTTAGTGAATTCTAGCTCAGTATAATATGAACTTCAGATTCATGAATAATTAAGTTTATCTTTAATTTCCTGGAATATATATTGACTTTGATACAACATTGAAGGGACAGAATCTGCTGACTCTGGAATCATCCAACAAATGTGACGATGGTGGTCCTTTATTGCATTCCAGTGGCTTCAGATTATTCATCTTTTCTCCATGCCTTATTCTGGACTTGTCATCCCATTCGTCTGATGGTCTTGATGAATAAAGAAGAAACCCTAAAATCACCTCACAGGTTTGGTTTCATTCGCGTAATTGATGCAAAATTTCAGGAAAATTTTATACATAAATATACATACACTCTTTAACCTTTGATGGAGAGAACCTTTTTTCATCTTTATTCATTCCAAAGTCGTGCACTCTTAGTCAATCCCAGTAATGTCAATGATCCAATCATAAATCACAGGTGCCCAGCAGGAAAAGTACATTCCAATTAAAAGACATGCACTCAAGTTAGACAAGTAAATTGCAGTAACAACAAAATTATGCATTGGATATTTTATTATCTTAAAGCCAAGGTTTCACACTTCACATGCTATATATATCTTAAAAAAAAATTAAATTGAATTTACAAAATAAAATAAAATAAAATGTAATGTAAGGGACTAGATTAATAAGAATTAAATTGACTTAAGGGTTAATTTAACTTGAGAATATATTTCTGATTTAAAACTTAACTAATAACATGATATTTTAAGTTTGGCCAAAAAAAGAACATAATATTTTAAGAACACACAAGGAACTAAATCAATAAGAATTGAACATGAGGGACCAAGGCAAACTTGAGGGACTAAAATTTGAGAATAAGGTGATTGAATTGGGGTTGCTTTGCCTTTGTCTTTACAGATTCGATTCTACTGTTTGCAAAACAGAGGAAGCGAACTGTTGCTGATGGCCAAGGCGACGATTAACTCCGACGTGCGAGCTCTATATAATTCCCTGGCAGAAATGGGACAAAGAACGACAAGGACCTCATTGTCGATGTGGCCAACAAGACCTAAGCATATAGCTTATTATAATATTATGGATTCATGAATTGATTTCAATGTAATTTCTGTGTAGCTGTGTGGTAGAGAACCTTGGTCCAAGAATTATGACTTTGGGGTGTCTGCTGCCGTCTCCATTGTCTTCTAATGTACAAAATCTCAGCCTTTTGTTGGGCTAATGATCAAAGCAAATTCATCTCTAGTTCTGTCAAATGATGGATTGGAATTTTGAACATTAGAGGGAAAGGCGTGCATTAGTTTATATATAATATCTCATTAAACATGAATTAGGATTAAGTATATATTTAAGTTGATGATGCTTAGCTTCTTGCTTGCAGGCAAATAAGATACCATCAAATCATGAAGAAGATAATGTTGTAACCTCCACAAGTGCCAATGGCCCTTTCAGTGTTTAAGGAGGCAAGAGAAGCTCTTACAGATTTGGCTGTTCACTCTCCTTTCTTATTTTGAGGTACGCTCTTGCACTTTCTTATTGATCTTCTTTTCATAACATAACACATTAATCAAAGATCTTCTTATAAGGACACGTGCAATTAGAGAGAGAGATTAACATTCTTTTCTTCGTTAAAATGATTGATATAGTTCATCTTTCTTTGATCAAACGCGAAAATAACACAGTTGTTCTAAACAAAAAGTCTTGCATACTTTTACATTTATTTAAAACTGAGTTTAAGAGTCAGCTGGTAGGCTTTCTTAAGATCTAGAAGAACTCTCTCTCTTTTCAGTACTTCTATCTTTGAAGTATTTGATGTTGTGGTAGTGTATTTATACATGTTTGTCTAGACACATGTTGTTTGAAATAAGTAGCTCGAGGTTGGAAAATTATGATGATATTATAAACAACATCTTATCCAGACTTGTTCTTTAAAATATAGTCTAAGTGTAGGTACGATTTAAAATGGGAACAAAAACTTGTTGATTGGGATATTATAATGAAGTTGGTATTAGGTGAACTGCTTTTTATAAAATTGGTTAGTGTTAAAGTCGCAAATATATATAAGTTCAACTTCTTCAACTTTGTTTATTATTGTTCAGCTACTTGATAAAATTCATACTGAGATTTATGTGTAACCTCTTCTCCAATTGAAATGCAGATCTCACAAAGAGAGAAATGTTCCTCATACACCTCTAAAAAAGATTTACGACACGATGGCGTTTATAGAAGTGAAAAGTATTGGCACAAAGACAAAAATATCCGACATGTTCCCAAGCAGTAAATAGAATTTTTTACTCATAATTTAGAATGTATCAATAAACATTTCCTCCGATATTTATCCTTAGTAAAGTTTAAGGTATGAATAAACTATATCTAGAGTATAATTAGGCTTATTCATTTTTTTCAATTATGTTTTGTGTTCAATCAATTAGGTATGAATATGTCTTATTGGAGGAAAAAAAGTTTGAGATTATTAATTCAGCGGAAAGATATATAGGCAAGCAACTTGATGGGAAGCATTTGTGTGGGACAACTATGAATAAACTCTTTAAGAGTATGAGTAGCTGCTGAAAGTGTGTGTGCATATGGGTTGATATAGTTAACGTGGTAAGTGGGTTTTTGTTTTTAAAATATCCTTTGAAGTCATACCACAGAAGAAAAATTTTGTGGACCTTCAAGCCGTCATTTAAGGGATTTTTTCTTTTTTTAATAACAGGATTGATATAACATTAATTTTATTATTTTAGGGGCAAAATCGTATTAAATTGGAGTTTAGAATAATGTTTTAAAAGTCCAGTCCAATGTCGGATTTGGATACTGTGAATGTAGCAACTAGTCATTCAGTAACTTTATCCACATGGCAAAATTTAGGCTCTCTATTAAATCAACGGTTTGATTAATCTTGTTGCAATTAAAATTAGAAAAAACTCAATTCCAAATCCATCTAAATCTCTTAAATAACATCATGGAATAAATCTCTATCTTATTTCCCGCCTAAGATTCAGAGCTTTCTCAGACAGTGCTATGTTATTGTTCTTCTCCAATCGATTATCAGATGCAGAGGTTTTTTTCTTCCCCGACTAACATTGCCGTGCTCTCTTATTTTTCTTCAATGGAATAGCACTCTGTTTTACTTATCTCCAATCGACAAGGTGGAGTTTTTTTCCCCCAAGCGGTGCTCTATTTTTCTTTAGCATAATCTAAGGTGATATTTTCAGGGATTGATTTATTTTAATCTTTTTTATTATCAAAATTTTTGTTCTGGATTGCTTCCTATCTGAATATTCTCTATCTTCTTTATTGAATTGAAATATGCCATTGATTTCTATATTAGCTTTCCCGTTGAATCAGAGGACGGTGCTATACATGATGATCAAAATTTTGGTGTTTTTTTTTTAAATTTCTAATTTAAGGAAACCAATTCTAGAAAATATTGCCACTAGTTTTTTGATATTATTTGATTTGGATTGAGTGTTTCTGATTTTAGTTTCAACAAAATTATCCAAACCATTGATCTAATCAAGGTACGTAAAACCGGACCGATCATTAAACCAGTCATGGCACTGAGTCACGGGTTAATGGTTCAATTGGGGTTGAACCGGTGGCAAACCGGTCATGATTAAAATAATACAATTTAAATAAAAAGACATTCATTATAAAAACATTCAATTAAATCCAACTACTCAAAAGTCTAATAATAATAAAATACCATATTTTTAGACTTAGCATGCTCTGCCTCTAATTTTTCATTTTTTGACTTTAATTTTACTTTTTTTTTGTTATCTTATTTCCGAACTCAGAGCTCTAAAAAATTAAAAATGAAGAAAAATAAAAAACGATGTTATTTTGAAGGTAAAAGTTTGAAAAAATAATAACTCGGTCAACCCAGGTTGACCAGGTTATACCGGGTTGAACCTGGGTTGACCGAGTTACACCGGTTTACTCCCTCACCGGGTTAAGGGTAAACCCAGACCGAATAAGGGACCAGATCACCGGTTTTCAGGTCGACCCAGCCGGTCCAGTCCGATTTTCAATACCATGGATCTAATAAAGAGCTTGGATTTATCACATGGCTAAAATCACTCAATGACTACAATTATGGAATCCAAATCCTCAGATGTCAAACAAAAAAGTTAATTAGTCACAGATTTTATGGTTTAGACAATCAAACCAATAATGGTTCAGCCAACAATATAATAATTAAATAAAAAATAATATTATATGCATAAATAATATATCTATAAAAAATAAAGTAAAATATATTGAAAATAATAAAACACATCACGAACACACAAAATATTGACAAATATGCTAAAAAAGCGTAGTTAAATAGCTCAACCAAAATATACAAAATTAAATCAGTTGAGATATTTTTTCACATTATAATATAAAAATAAATTTTTGATAATAATAATAAAACTAACGAGAAAAATTTACCAAAATTAAATTCAACTTTAGATACTTAAAAGATAAAAAACAAAAATTATTAAAAAAAGAAACGAAATTTATAATTATAAATAAATATATAATATTAAATTAGAAATACATATAAAACATAAAATTTGAACCAGAAAGAAAGCAAAACATGCATGCTAGACTTGCAGCCGTTGGAAAGCTCAATTACAATTATATCGGATGTCCCCGAAGTGACAAAGCTCAATTACAATTAGATGTGCCCGGGTGTGAATTATGCGTTGGAAAGTGTAAGAATATGTGCTTAAATTTTATTTTTAGTATCTCAAGGCAGATAATTTTTCCAATCGATGAAGCCAATTCGTTATATTATAAAAAAATAAAAAAATTACATATAAATCATATAAAGTTGACTTATTTATAAATAAATTTTGCAAAATTTAAAAACAACAACTAAATTTCTAGGGACCTAAGTGTAATTTAAAATTTAGATGAAAAGACAATAATGTCCTTATCAAACATATGTACATTATATTAATTAAATAATTTACAACTGTAATTTTAACTTTTTACAGTTCTAATTTTATATATCGAATAGTTAAATTGATTAATTTAATTATTGAATATGTGAAAGTACAGTTATAAAAAACTGACGTTATAATTGTAAATTATTAATAAAATAGTTGTAAATAATTAATATTAAATTTGGTTAATAATGTATAATTGTTTAACTATTGGATATGTAAAGTTACAATTATTAAAAGTTAAAATTATAGTTATAAATTGCTAATGAAATAGTTATAAATTAATTATTTAATTGATATCATATATGTTTAATAGAGGTATTATTGTCTTTATAAAATAATTTTAAATTATAATTAGATCTCAAAGAACCTAATTGTAATTTTTGAATTTACTTTCGTGGGACTTATTTATAAATAAGTTTGTTATATGTAATTTTTTTAAAACAAATTAATAATGTCCATCCATCTTTGAGAATTATTATTAGTCATTGGTTAATGGCATCTTTTTCTCTCTCCTTGGCTGTACTTGGGTCTTTTGGGAAAGCAATCAGAATTTGTGCATTTTTTCTTGTTTCCTTCTTCTTCCTTAATATTCAATTTAGTTCTCCTCTCCTTTCATAGAGTTGCTCTTTCTTTCTTTCTGTTTTTTTTTTTTTTTTGAAAAAAATAGATGTTAACTCCTAACTCATCTAGTTCCACAAAAATTGTTTTAGTTTTCAATTTGACTCTGGTTCCCATCTTAAAAATTGATTTAAAATAGTTCAATCCAGTCAAATTTCTTCAAATAAGTAAAACAATCAAGCCAATTTGCTTCATTGTTTTGACCGTCAAGTTTGACCCGAGAATAAAAACACTAGTTTAGAATAATAAATTCCCCTAAGCAAATAGTTGACGGGTGAAAATATTCTCTAACCCTAAAATATTTTAAGTAAAAGTGTAATTTTATTTTTAAAAATAATTATGATTAGCAAGAAAAAAAAAGCCTTATTTGAGTTCAAAATTCAAATAATTAAAAAAATATTTTCTAAAATTAAAAGATTAAATTAAAGCATAGTGTAAAAGTGATCGATGTGGGTCCTATTGTACTTGAAAATAAAATTTCAGAAATGGTTAAATTAAATAGTAAAACCAGCATGTTATAATATGATTGGATTTGATTGATATACTCGCATTGCCTAAGTGCTAACTTAATTCTTCTTAAAGCCATTGTCTTTATAAGTTATTATCTTAAAAACATCATTTTCTCCAATTAATTTGCTAATCATGATCTTGTCCTGAAATTTTTCAACTCTTTTTCCCGTTTTTTCGGTGATAGTGTCCTAATAACCCAGTACTATGCAGCATAAATTCACTCACACTTCCCTAGTCCCTTACAGATACACATTTAGTACTAGGCCATAGTGTTAATTACATAGTTTGTGTATAAAACTGGACCATCCGGTTAAACCGACGTCCCATTTGTGTACGTCTGATCTAGTTTGGCTATTTTTTGGGGTGCTAGTCAACCCCAATGACCCGAGACTAACCCGGAGTTACCCGCCGAAACTCACAGGCTGAGGAGTTTGGGTCGGGTTACTTTTTTTAGATATATAAAATGATAAAAATATATCATGCTTTTATATTTACTTTCAAGCCTGATATTATACAAATATATTATTTTAAATGTTGTTATGTTTTATTATTGTTAGAATTATTAATGTATGTTGTTTGAGATATATATTAAGTCTTGGATATAGATGAATGTTTTGAGAATTATCCTTTTTATTTAAATTATATTATGTTAATTATGACCGATTCAATTGATCTTTTGTTCAACTGTCGATGTCCAATTTTTAGTACTATGGTTAATTATATAATTTTTTTTCCAACATAATTATATTTTTTATTTCTCTATATATTTTAATGTCTTATCTTTAGTTTATTATTCATTAATTACATTTTTATTTTTATTTGAGATTAATTTTTTTTATATATTTGTAATGTTGTTTCTATCTTTTTCTTCAAAAATAGTTAGTATATAATTAAAATATTTTAATTTAATCACAATCAGTTTGATCAAGCTATAGGTTTGACCACAATCCGACTATAATACTAGTGTCTCCTGACTGGTTATTCAATACAATATATTATATTAGATGAAATGTGTGGCTGAGATTTGTTGGATTGGATTTCATTTAAAACTCTCAATTGCTTTGAACCTATGCGCTTGAAACACATGTATGTACATTAAATAACCACAATTTCCAAGCCCTAGGTCTCATCGCTCTATATATACCACTTTATCTTTCAACAGCATCAGCCGTCAAATATTTCATTCTAACCACAAGGTTTTTCTTTTGTTTAGATGTACTAGCAATTTAGACATGTCATTCATAAAGGTTTCGGTTCAAGAAGATGATGATGAAGAAGCTCAAGAAAAGTGGATAAATATATATGGCTTCAATAAATCAGATCACCGGAATACCAAAGTAAGGTATTTAGAACTCTCACTATCATGTGTGTCTTGTTCATATAATAGCTTTCAAATCTTGCATGCCCAAAGAACGAAATCAAAAATTGTTTTGAGTGTAATTTACATTGGTTTAGGTTTTGACAGGTAAGAATTTAGGATTTAATTAAGTTGAAAGTAATAATTTTTTGTTTTATTTTTTTGTCAAATTTTCTCTTAGATTGAGAATATACATCAATTCCATGCTGCAAGAAAACAAAAAATTTGCAACGAATTTGTGAAGGAAACAAATCCATTGCAAACCCATCAAAATTTTTTCGTGATGCATCTGTGACGAAAATGCAAAAATCCAACCCAAAAAAAATTTGTGACCAAGAAATTTTTGACGGATTGATCCACGTTATATCTGTCACAAACACCCCAAATTCATCACAAATCCCTCATAATTTTCCTCAGTATTGTTGCTTTTCATGTTTCTTTTCTTTTCTTTTTATTGTTCACTTAAGTTAACCAAGGTATGAACCTATTCAGCTCTGCCATTTTCCTCTCCTCACTAAAGCAAAGAAACAAGCATTGCTGAATCATTTTCATGGGTCATTCCAGGAAAAATTAAGAAGCTAGTAATGCATGATTAAGCCCAACTTTTTGTTGTATGAATATATTGAAAAACTACAAAAATATCTTCTCATCAAGTTTTGAACAAACAAATTATATAACTCTATTCTTAACATTCGTATTGTACTACATAAGACTCAGATACCATATTAGTAAATATGATTTGGCTTATTGGATGCTAAACCAACATAGGTGTAAAGGATCTATTTACATGAAACCTTCGGCCATTGTTAACTTTCTAATTCATACGCATGTAGATTAAGATCAATATTATTTTAACAGATATTATTGAAATAAAGAATATCCCTCCTTCATTGGAAAATCCATCTCATTCCTCATGCACCTGAATTCTTTTCTTGTTCATTTGAGACATTGGAAGTATTTCTAAGGAAACATAACAATTGAACAGCTAATATAATTTAAAAAACCTCGTAACAAAATTTACAAAAACATATTACATTTAACAACATGACTTGAAAGGTGTGATGACATTGTGCTTTGGCTTTTCACTTATATTTGTATATGCATAATACTCAGGCACAGGGTAATTGAATTCCAGTGGACAGTTGTTAGTCTGTCTAATATTGGAGAGGTCACGGAGGAGGTGCCTTACAGGTATGAACAAATCTTTAAATTGCAAATAATCATATTTAAAATATTCAATAATATATGTATAATTATTTGTTGAAATTAAAGTTGAATAAATAATATATGCAATAATTACGTATGGTTAATTATTTCCTGAAATAATAAAGACAGATGAAGAGGATGGGAATGAAGCCAATCCTTTTGAGACACTTGCAATCCACTTTCTCTTATATATATGATAATTTCTTTCAATTTATATATATATATAGTAAGGATTTACTTTCACACTTTTCAAAATACTTTATATTCCACTTCTTCACTATCACAGTAGTTGATATTTCAGGGCACTAACGTCCATCAATACTGTTCTTCATCTTTGACACACTTTTAGATGAAAGCAAGAAGTAAAACAAGAATTTAGAGAAATGAACAAGAAGGCGGACTGTACATAAATTTGTAGAATAACCCATTGATTTTGTCATTAGAAATCAACAACCAGTGTATTTGTTTTTTCAATCTGGAAATTGAGTATAAGGTTATCGAATTGGGGTTGTTTTCTGTATACAGATTCGATTCTACTGGTCGACTATGATGACGAGGGATCAGAGGATTTGATCTCCAAGAGTAAGAACTGTCTACTTCCCTGAATTATGAATACAGTATACGTCGACCTAGAGGAATGCCGAGTCAACGTAGAGGAAAAAAAATATAGTAAAAGAAGTCGAACTATGTAGCTCATGTGAAATCCCATTACAGGCTCAAGTACAAAGCCTTGATTTGATCTAGATGTTCCTCCAGTATTAAGGCTATCACCATGGATCATCATCTGGTATCAAAATCAAGCCGAATCTAGCCAAATTTAAATCAGTAAAAAAAAAAAATTCCCTAGTTTTATCAATGCAGGAGACAAGTGTCCAATTAATGAGTAAAGTTAATTTTGATAAACCTGTCAATGGTGAAAATCCATATTCCAAAGCAAAAAAAGATTGCTTAATTTATGTGGAACTTCTTAAGGTTCTATATAATTTGGACCTACCATGCTATGTACACAAACTTATTAAGTCAATACGTGGCACAACTCTACAGCCCCGAATGTTTCTTCAAGATTAATAATAGTCAGTAGCATCATTGAAATTCGCAGACTATTAATCATCAATAAAATTAAAACATGGAAATCAAAGGAGATCAATAAGATTTATTAAATTAGAGATGAAGATAGAAAGAGTGGCTAAATTTTAGCTAACCCCAAATACAGGAGGAGTGCGGCCTAGGCCATTTTCATCAAGCTGCCTTCTACTATGCAGCCTGTGGTGGATTGTTGATATGTCTCTGTAACTACGGTTCAGTAGCTGAGAGCCACAGGAAGAAGAAGCATTCAGTAGAAGAAACAAGAAGCAGCACAAGGCAGTAAGTTGAAGAAACTTTAAGAGCCTTAATTAATCTGGGTCCGTTGATCATATAACAATTATGTGCGCGCGCGCGCGCATAATCAATGAATAGGTGCTTTGTGTATATGCAAATGAGTATATTCACATGTCTTTTCCACTTATATATCTCTTCTTTGACATAGATATTTGCTCTTAGGGACGTTATCAGTCACTCACACTCTTTAGCTAGGGAAGCACATTTGCATCGGATTTTTATTGAGGTATATATGTGAATTCTTTTGCTTTTGGGTTAACTGGTGCAATTTTTGTAAGGAGGCATTCTTGTACATCGCTTCAGCTAAATCCTCTTTTTTTTTTTTTTTTGTATATTCTAGAGCTGTGTACATGTTGATTCCTATTTTTTTAAGCCTGTTGTGATATAGTCATTTTTGTTATTGCCAATTAATTTTGCATTCATTGTTGTTATGCTGTGATCAATATTAGTAATGTATCATTGTTACGTTTCTCCAGAGATTTTAGTTTGATTTGTAGAACTAACGAAGATGAATTAGGAGAATCTGTGAGGATCCCACATGATCGCTTAACGTCGTAGTTAATTGTTATGATATGATGAAATTATATCGTTCTTCCGCCTCATGTTTGCATGTCTGTTAAGAATTGGAGATAGTTAAACACACATAATAGATTCCACTTCAGTATACTATGAAGTTCAGTGTCATGAAAAATTAAGTTTATCTTTAATTTCTTGGAATATATATTGACTTTGATACAACTTTGAATAGACAGAATCTGCTGACTCTGGAAGAGCTAAAAGAACATCCAGTAGTGTATCATACATATCATACAACAAATGTGACGATGGTGGTCCTTGAATGCATTCCAGCGGCTTCAGATTATTCATCTTTTCTCAATGCCTTGTTCTGGACTTGTCATCCCACTCGTCTGATGGTCTTGATGAATAAAGAAGAAACCCTAAAATCACCTCACAAGGCTAGTTCCATTCACGTAACTGATGCGAAAACTTCAGGAAAAAATTTATGTATGTACACTTGTTAGTTTAATTCAAACATTTGATGAGAGAACCTTTTGCATCTTTGATCATTCGCCACCTTGCATGAGGAAGGAGGTGGATGATGATTGGATTTCTCTCCTTTAGTTTGTCTTTGTACCGTTCCTTTTCTTTAGTGAATGAATCTCAGTTTATGATTTAAAACTAAAAAAAAAAAAAAAGCATAGAGATTCCTAAGTCTTGTATTCTTAGTCAATCCCAGTAATGTCAATGATCCAATCATAAATCACAGGCACCCAGCAAGAAAATTGTAAACCAATTCATGCACTCATGTTAGGTAAGCAAATTTCAATAACAACAAAATAATGCATTGGATATTTTCTTATCCTAAAAATAAATTAACAGAGTGCATGAAATTTGTCTAAATATAATACGAAATGTTGAGAAAATCCTATAAATCACAAACTTCACAAGGATTCTCACATGATACGAGACACAAACTCCCAAAGCAAATTAAACACGTGCTTCTCCTTAATTCAAGGCCAAAATTATATGTTCATTAGGAGGAGATGGATATACTACTTTTTTAATGAGCAAAGGAGAGAAGAGAAGAATTCCTTGTTGCCAGCCTTCAGTGATAATTAATGATTATGCACTTCAGATATTCAAGCTATAAGTTCCCATTGAATCTTACACAGCAATATTCCAAGACAAACTACGCACGAGATCATTCACATATTACAAAACAAGTTATGAACAGCATAACTTATAACTAGCATTATGTATGACATATGAATAGTATAACTTTTTGTAAATTTTGAAACACTCCATACATTTACAGAAGACAAATAACATCTCTTGGAATAAAATAGCCTATGGAACTCAAGTGCCATTATGAAATCTATTGTTCCTATCCTCACACACAAATATACGTTTTTGTTAATTTCTACACACTATTTTGTAGGATTTGAATTTTTCAACGTTGATAGTACATACGATTTTGAATAAAAAATTCTTGAAATATGCAGTTTTTTCATTATCCCAATTATCCCATGTTTTGTTTTCAATCTGGAAATTAAGAACATAGTGATTGAATTGGAGATGCTTTGTCTATATAGATTCAATTATACTCACTACTACAAAATATATTTTAAAAGCACATTTTTTGTAGCATTTATAAAAAAAACACTCTTATATATTGAGATGAAATTTACTGGAGCACTTTTAAAAAGTGCCCCATAATATTACTTTATTGGAGCACTCCTATAAATTATAAAAAAATAAAAAGTAGAAACAAATTTCTTTAGAAGCACTTAAAAATAAAGCGCTCCTAAAAACTTGTTTAATGTAAAATGCTTTGAATGGTTAAGTTAAAAAAAAATTAAAAAAAAATTATCTTTAGGAGCGCTTACCCAATATCTTAAAGGTACTGGGTAAGCATTCTTAAAGGTAAAATAATAAAAATATAAGAACGCTTTTAAAAAAAAAAAATTAAAAAGTTATATAGAAGCCAAAAGAATTTTTTTTTAATATCAAAATACAATATTTGTAAAGCTCCACAAGTCTCTCGCATTTTTAAAGTCCAGATCCGCATATTGTCTCTAAATCCTTCTCTCCCAAACCCTTCCAACTTCCCGTTTGTTGCCTTGCCACCATCAATATCCTAATCAATGGCTGCCGTCAACCGTCGCCTGCCTATCGTCGGAACACGCCGTCCCAGCCACGCCGAACAGCTATACGAAATCATAGATCTGCGTAGTGTCGCTGCAGATCTGCTCCTTATGTGTCGCATTTTCCCTTCAATCTTTGCCGCTATTGTCGCCGCAGCTTTGGTGCATCGCGCTTCATCGTCCTCCTCGGTTCACCCTCCAGCTACGTCGTCATGCTCCTGCGTTCAGTGTTCTCTAGATTAAAGGTATTGTTTCACTTTAACCATTATCTTCTCCTAGAAAACTCATCGATTTGGTGCCAAAATGGCTTGAGAGACGCAAGGGTAATTTTTTCTGTGCACTGTTGGGTCTGTTTCTCGGCAAAATTCCTTAGTTGATGATTATGATTAGTGATTTGGTAAACCTAGAGAACTTGTTTTTAGCTGCTCGAGCAATTTTCTTGCTTGTCCTGTGCTAGGTCACTACTCGGTTGCCTGGAAGAAGGACCATTTTCATCATTTTCGTTTATTCCAATTTTACTTTCTTGGCATTTTTGCAGACTGCATTCTTCTAAAGAGTGTGAAATTTGATTGCAAAAGATATTATTCAAATCAATCGAGTCGTGTAATGGAATAATAAAATTACCAAATTCTTATCAGCAAAAGATACATAAAAAACATGATTGCGCTCCATTTCTATCTTCCTTAAGCAAACACAAAAATGAAGTAGTAGTTGTATTGATTTGTTTCAACTATAAAACATGATTCGTCATATGCATTAATACTTGATGGATTGCTTTATCAATTGAGCTGGATGGGCCCTTTTTTTTCTTTTAAATCAAATAACACTGCTGATACTGTATTAATTAATCTCCCAATTTTTGTTTTTATATATGCAGTGACTATTTGTTTAAGCTTTTGCTTATTGGAGATTCTGGTGTCAGCAAATGATATCTCTTTCTGAGGTTTGCTTTAAGTTTTGAGCTTCTATCTCTTTCTTGTTCTTTCTCAGGGTGATGTGCTTCATGTTCAGCATTCTCTGTTTGAAGTTTTAGTGCGTTTGGGACAGCATTGCACCTAATCAAACATGGTTTGTGTAGGCCATTTGTACTATTTTGAACATTGAAATTTGTGGCCTGGTCATTTGTATTGGTGGTCTGTGCAGTGCGTAACAAAATTCTTTTTGTTTTGAACCTTTTAATGTAAAATTAAAAAAAGCTTGCTGATTTTTCTACTGTCATTGTAAACCACGATGATTCATACCTTGACAGCTATATCAGTACAATTGGAGTTGACTTTGTAAGAATATATATTTCCTATTCAAGATCAAGTTCCAGTTGTCAAAATATAACTACGTGACTAATTATTCTCTATGCTCTCTTCTATAGAAATTTCAAGCTGTGGAACAAGATGGGAAGACTATCAAGCTTCAAATAGTAAGTACAAGATAACTTTAAAGTTAATAAGATTCTGAAATTATTTTAGATAGAAAGTTTTGTTTCTTTCAACATCTAATTATTGTGCTTTCTTGAAATTATCTGAATTTTTTTTTAATAAAGCTTAATTTCAGCCAAACCTCAATGTTTGAAAACTAAGCAATCAACCTCCAGGCTCCAGCAATGTTTCTTGGGTATATTATCTTTCTTTTGTTGTAGAATATCCTCTATTCAATATGATGATACTCTGGGTTTATCCATTTTTGTATGGGAGAAAAAAAAAATTCTTGTGGTTCAGTACTACACACTTAAGAAACATAGGAAAAGTTAATTGTGGTTATTAATCATGTCTACATGGCTCGTGCTGACAACATCCATTTCTTTGAATATATAGTGGGACGCAGTTGGTCAAGAGTGTTTCAGTATCGTTGGCAGCTATTATTGTGCAGCGGAGGAAAGGGCACATGTCCTAGAGAAAAGGATGGGCCAAGAATTTGATCCAAGAATGTTAGATATGAGCTTTTCTATACAAGAAGACATATTTGGGGTTATTTGAACTTTTGGATGAAAGGTTTTCAATTCCATAGCAAAATGTTAATAGCTCAAATTCATCTAGGCAATAAAATTTAATCATAATTGTCTAAAATAACTTTTATATGATGTGCTTTAAAGTTTGTGTAATCTTTTATATTTTGTTCAACTCTATGTATGGATTAGTCATTTTTAATGAGCTGTAAGAGAAAATGTAAAAAGTTTTTGATTTTTTTTTAAATAAAAACTACCATATGGGAGCGCTCACTTGAAGAGTATTCCCACAGAAACTGTAGGGGGAGGATACAAGAGCGCTCTTTTGAAAAGCCCTCTTGTAACGGTGTGTTTTTTATATTAAAATTCTTTGGAGTTCATGAGCATTTTTAACAAAAAGTACTCTTATTAGTCACACCTACAGGAGTGCTTTTTTAAAGAGCACTCCTATATCTTCCCTCTACAGAAACGCGTTTTAAGAGCTCTTGTGTATATGGGAGCGTTGGCTACGGAGCATTTCAAAAATACTTTTGTTGGCAAAAAATAAGCACTCCCATATATTTATTTTGTAGCAGTAACTATTTGCAAAACAGAGGAAGCGAAGTGTGGCTGATGGCCAAGGTGACGATTAACTCCCACGTGCAGGTTATATATTCCCTGGCAGCAACGGGATGAAGAATGACAAGGACCTCGTTGTCGATGTGGCCAAATGGTACCTGAGTATATTGGCTATTATAATATTATGGATTCATGAATTGATTTCAATGTAATTAATATTCTGTGTAGCAGTGGTATTGGTCCAAGAATTATGAATTTGGGGTGCCTGTTGCCGTCTCTACCGTCTCCTCTAATGTTATGACCCCCAAAAAAAAAAATTGAGTCGAACAAATTTCTCTCAAAAGGATATTTTATTTAAATAAATTTTGTTAACAAGTTTGATTTTATTTTATTTTAAATTATAAAAGAGTTTGGGGTCCTTGTAATTTTTCTTAGGTCTTGCTTGTAATTTTTTTGTGCTTTTTCTTGCACTTTTTCCTAAATATATATATATATATATATATATATATTTTAATCAGATCATATTCTTCACGTGAAAGCAAAAACAGAGCATTCCCATGTCTCTTCTTCACCGACATTAGACTACTCCTTTCTCGTCACTGTTGAGCCTTTCCTCCTCACCGTCGGCATGCCTCTTTCTTCGCTGATTCTTCTCTGCTCTTTGTCTACTTTCTGTCTTGTGCTGAGCTGAATCTCTGCTCATTTCTTCGCTGTTCTGTGGCTGAAAGAGGCGCGCTCATGCGTGTATGTTCAGCTTTTCTTTTCTTTTCTTTCCCCTCAACAGTTGGAAGTCTCTGTGTGTGTGGTAATCTGATTTGTGTGTTTGCTGGCTGAAATTTTCTGTCTTCTTCCTTCCTTATGGTTCTGCTCTGTTTCGTGGCTAACGAAGTTGGTGTATGCACGCACGTTCGGTCATTCTTTTTCTTCCTCCTCAGTTGCTTAAAGTTCCGTGTGTGTGTGTGTGTGGTAGCTCGACTATTTTGTTTGCTGGCATGACCGGCATGAGATATGTATACAAAACCCACAACCTTTGAGCTCAAGTTTTAAACCATAAATAGATTTGAGATTAAAATAGGATTTTATTTTTGATATTTTTTATATAAACAAATTTTGTAAATTTTTTTCTGTAAAGTTTAGACTTTTCAAAATTTTAAAACAACAAAGAATAACAACAACCAAACAAAAAAATGCTCCTCTCTTAACTAACAAAAATATAATCTTGTAATACAAGGATCCTACTTATAATATATGTGGAGCATCTAGGATCAAACCATTAATCTAATACACAATTCAAGCTATATCAAATGAGACTTGTCTAAGTAATTCTTTCACTCCATTTCAATGATAAAATGCCTTAATGAACACCTTGAGATATAAGTTGAGCCATACCATTTGAGACCAAAAATATTTTTTCAATGAATAACACTCTAAAGTAAAATTAAAAGAAATCAAAGAAAGAAATATAAATAGAATAAACTTGAATTTAACCAAAATAATCATTTAGAAAAGCAAGTGTATATAACTCAAACTAAATAATTTTTCATTTAAGCATTTAATCCAAAAATATCCTCATATGATGACAACACACGGTCAAGTTTTGATTTATAAACTATCAAGCTTGTATTAAATAGTTAAGAAATACAACTTTTTCATTATAAAGAAATCCATTCTTGAAAATCAACTTGCTAAAAAGATTCGGTTAAAATAAATAAGTAAGTAAATATGTAAGTAAAAACAATAATTTCAAATATCATTTAGCAGGACTCTATTAAAAACGAGCGTGAACATGCAATCCATGAAGGTAAATAATAAATAAGTGTGGACACACAATCTACAAAAGTAAGTAACTAGTCAAGCGCAGTTGGAAGCCATGAAACAAGCATGGCAGAAGCCACGAAACAAGCTTGAGTACAATGCTCATGTATATTCATCCCTCTGTTCCACGTGCATTGGCCTACACACGGGGCTAGCATCTCCTACAAGAACCTTGCTATCTACGTGCACCATGGTACGCCAAAGGCTAATAGTACTATCATTAGCAAACAGCATTCTGATTTAATTTCACATTTTAAATCAAACATGCATGGGTTGATAAAATCAATATATTATCTCTTTTTAACATTTCTTATCAAGCTCAACGTAAATGAATTCATATGTATGTGTGTATATTTATATATATCCCATGCACGAATCATGATGGTTAATCACTATTTAAACATAAAATCAACATTTCTAACATAGCAGATATTTTCATACGTTCAATTGAAAGATAAACTGAACTATTCTATATAATATAATATAATATAATAAAGTATAATATAATGAAAACATTTCCATGCATGATAGTTAATAATAAAATTAAGAATTTGAACCATAAAAATAAATTAATCAATTAATACATAAATTAATAAATAAATTAAAATATTCTATTATTTGTTTTCATAGAACAAAAATGATTATATAAATAAAAGAGAAGGCACATGTATATGCTAAATCAATATTTTTATAAAAATGAATTTTCTAAAGAGTTATTGGGATGATATTCACTTACCTGAGACATTCTCAAATGTATATAATTTACTTCTAATTAGCTACTTTTGTAATATTATTCATGCCTTAATTCCCTCAAATCAACCATGATAAAATAGAGAAGAGAAAGAATCCATAGTAGAGAATAGGGAGGAGGAAGAAAGAGAATGTCTGATGATCCCCACACCATGGCAAGGATAAAGACGATAGAGAAGAATTAAATGTTGAACATAGAAGAGAGAGGAAAGACAAGCTCAACCTAACTTACAGTTGATGAAGTGAAGAAGAGGGAAGAATCTTCGATACTGCTACTACAATGAAGGGAGTAATAGAGGACAGAAGAAGAAGAAGGAGACTCCATCACTCTCACGGTCATCTATGGCAAACGAGAAGGAAGACGGAGAAGAGAGGATAAAGAAGAAAGAGGATTGAGGATGAGGAGGATTTTTTTTATCATCTTCTAGGTTCCCAAATTGTGGACTGAATTTGGACGGAAATTTTTGGAGAAGATAAACTAAAATATCTGAAGCCATTTAATTAATTTTTTTTCAGAGGGCATTTTGGTACTTCGCAAAGGACTGAGATAATAAAAATAAAATCCCCTTCTCGTCGTGACAGAATTTGAACAAGGGACCTATTAACCAAGGATCAAGTTCAATGTCACTAAGCCTTCAAGATTTCTTGTTATTTTTTTTTCAATAATTAATAAAAATACACTTTCTTTTAAATTATTCTCATTTTATAAATATTCTAAGATATTACAAGGACAAATGATCAAATGGTTAGAAGAGATGGTAGAGAGTTTAAGAAAAATTTCAACCATTGAATTCAAAAAAAATCCAATAAGAAAAAAGATTAAAAAAAAAGTAAAAGTTATTTAACTTTCCTTGGTTAGAAATGCTCATTCTGCCCTTAATAAATCTCAAAAATGTCTTTCACAACCTTAACCATTGGAAGACTTTTGGAATCCAAGAATTAATCTTCATAATTAAATTTTATTAGTTGTGCTTCCATAACCTGAAAAGTCAACACAAACTTATTACTATAGACTATGTCTAAAATAAATCCCATATCTCATAAAATATTTTTAAATTAATTTTTTTCAACAATTATAATTTTTTCCTACAAAATGGCCAAAAACTCAAATAATTATAAAAATTCAAATTAAGTTCAATTAAATATTGGCAAATTAAACCATGTTAAAAATAGGAAAAATGAAATATTAACAATTAAGCTCAAAATTCCCATAATTGATCCAAAAATATATGATTCTTCAAAATTGACTAATAATTCAAATAATATCTAATAAATCTAAATTAGTCCAAGATTATCATTAAAATGCGTGAAAAAGGTGGAATAAAATATATAAAATCTATGACTTATCATACCATTACCTCTACTATTGTCACCTCCCTTACCATTTCCTCCATTGCAAACTATCATGCTATTGATGTGATTTCCTAGACTATGAATCACATCATTCTCAGTAGTCCTCTTAGCCCTTAACTCTACCTAGTGGTGCTACATAGTAGCTCTCATCTCCATCAACATATTCCTCATTTCTTTCAAGAGGTTCTCATTCTCTTGAGGAGGTTGTTTAAGTAAAGGATTACATAGTGGAACCTACGGGCTAGGCTATAGATTATGTTGGGGTTTACCATTCGTAATTTTAGATATCTGACTTTTGGCTATTCTCCCCTCTTAAGGATGAAAGTTACAAAAAATAGGTTAGCACGCAATTAGATTAGTTTAAACTATGCAAAATGGGAAAACATGTATAAAGAATACATATTGCAAACATTTCTATATGCTTAATATACAAACCAACAAGTTATAAGTATAGACACACAAGCACCAACTCTTGAAACTCGAAAACTTGATACCAAATTTGTAATGTCCTCTGACATTAACCATACAATTACCCAATCATAACACTACTAGACTAATAAAGAGACTTACAGAAAGATGATAAGATTAACTTTGGCTATTTGAAATTCCAAAAACTAATTATAATACCTTTAGGTAAATGAGATCCCAAAGACTCAAGTTTAAAAACAATAATTAAGGCCCTTTAAAAACATTTGGAATTATAGTGACATTAGTTACGAAAACATGAAAAATAGTTTGAGCATAAAAAAGAAATGAAAGAGGGTAAAAGAGTCATTTTATCACAATTCTTGTACAATTTGTTGTGACTTGTGGTACAGAGACCACTCACAATGGCAAAAACACAATCTATCATGGCCTTTTGCATAGATGCCCTCTGTCATGGCCAAGCATACCATCCATTGCAATTGACACCCACTATGTCATCTGCCACAACTAACAGAAACTTTCATTGAGGCTAATAGGTAACTTCACTAAGAATACAACATATGGGGTCTAAATTTTAGAGCATTTAACTTTCAACTTGCACCTTCAATCAAGGTGATGTCAATGTCCACATATAGACAGTTAAGTAAACTAACTAATGGGGCTAGTCTTACCTCAATCTAGTATCTTATGAGTATTTTGGACACTTAGGGCTAATCACATACTTGTCACACCTTCTTCCAAATCAATTGAGTGCCACAACTAAACACTTAACCATTATCCATAACAATAATAATTTACATAAACCACAAACTTACTAAACATGCTTAACTACTCAACATGCCAATTTAGTTAAACAACAACCAATAAGTATGCACTTGCATGATAGGCCTTATTTATAAAATCATCATGAAGGACATTAACAAAAATTACCTAAGTCCATGACAATACTCATGTAAATAGAGTATGTTCTATCAACAATAAGTCCCCTAATGTTGAGAAATTCAATTGCACAATAGCAAAACAAGCTAGAGACTTTACAATACAACTATGTATCTCTAGCATCGGATGCTTCCCCCTTGTTATTGCCCTTATTGACTTCTAGAAAAGGTATTAATGAATGGGAGTAAGATTATACAATCTTAATAACTGAACAATTTAATTCAAGCATATCAAAGTATGGCAATTATAAGTAAGTAAAGCATAAGATTGCACTTGGCAATGTTAACACAATGCATCAATAACAGATATCTTGCATAATCAAATGCAACCAACTTATTCCTCTCTTTATGCCCTCTTATTGAATCCAAAGGCTACTAACTCATATATAACTAACTCATATGACTAGATTAGCCTACTCTTTAATAATAAGGGGTTACCCAACTAAAGATTCTCACACTCACTCTTGAACTATAGATTCCCTTTTCTTGAATTACTAGGGTGTCATAATTGCCTGACCCATACACTCCCCTATAAGACCCAATGATACTAAGCATCATACTCAACCTATGCCATTCTCGTAGATTAATGACAATACTAAGCACGTTTAATTATTCATATATGCCAACCACTATGTGCAATTCTCAACAAAGGCCACAACATATGGATTTCCAATAACACCATTTACTCTCTTTTAGGTGAACTATCCATTCATGATTAAGAAATTCAATATTTATGCTATGGCATACTCAGAACTCTCTCAAATTAAATTAAATTCAACCATATACTTACACTACTTAAAACATCACATGTCCAATGTCATGCTTCTCAATACATACTCATGTTATCACATAACATATGATGTTACTAATCATCATTAATTAATCTTAATCATAGTTAAGGCCTTAATCTCTTATTAAGTGTCATTAACCAAAATCAACTCCATTTCTCACTTTCATTAACTTATTTAATCTTCACTAAGCTTAATAAACAATGTCAGACCTCTTAATTAATTTACACTAGTTTACTTAGCATTATGGTTAGGCTTAAACTCATCATTAATGACGTTAATTGCTGCCATTAACATAAAGTAAAAATTAGAAATGCAAATAAACCTCATTAGACTTCATTAAAGTCATATGAATGGCTAAAACTTAGCTTAAGATTTAGACAAAATTTCTACTCCTCATGGACTTGCAAAAAAACACACAAATGTGGTAAGAGAAAGACAGAAGAAGCTTACCCAAGGGTTAAATAGCTCCAAAAATCCTTCAAGCAAGACAAACCTTTATAGAGCTCACTCTTCACTTTCTCTTAGACCCGTGTTTCTCTCTTTTGTTTTGAGCAACAAATCACATCTCTAAGTTTTTAAATTTTGATAAATTTGCTACAAATGATGCAATCTAGAAACCCTACTTGGGCCTAAAGTAGCCTAAGGCTCCTTAAGGTCCTATTCCAAGCCTTTAATAGACCTAAAAGAACTCCAATTACTTTCATTAATCTAATTAGGACCTAACTAATTAACTTAACCTTCTAATTAATTTAATTAACTCTATTTTAAAATTTTAAGATGTTACAGAGTTCACCTAAATAAGAGAAGGGAGTTGTAAAATCCATGTGATGTGACCTCCTCCAAGATTTGCTCATGGTGATTGGTGAGATTTATTAAAGGTCCTTAGTATTGTCATCATCCAATAGGAGATGGTATAGTCTGAGTACAAATGCTTAGTATCACTAGTTTCCTACGAGAGATAGTGTGGGACGAGAACTTATAACACCTTTAAGTTTTCTAGAAAGAGGGGAAATTTATGGTCTGAAAATGAGTGTCAAGACCTTTAGCTGAGTGATAGCTAAGTTGATTTGGTCACACAAATTAGTCTTATATATATAGTAACTCATGGATTTAGTCAAAAGATATAAGGAGAGTAATAAGGTTGGATGTATATAATCATGTGTAATACATATCATTTACATGAATGCTTGAGTTCATTAAGATTATGGATATGAATTTCTACTTCACTTGCTCATATTTGTGCTCTTACATATGCTTGAACTTATGTTCCTTAGTTACTAAGATTTCATGTCTCACTCTCTATGGTTTAATGTTTGGATAAAGTCCAGCAAGGAGCAAAAAAGAAGGTTTTTTATTATAGAAGCACATGGGTGTAAATCTCTAGCTAAGTTATATGTTTAACTTGAATACGCATATTGACAACTAGGGGTCATTCCATGTTTAACTAGGTTTGACTATTTCCCACTTGTATTTGTAACTTTATATGTGTTGATTTAGGTATTTTTGATATTTCTTGAACTTGGTATGGTTTAGGTTTTTAGTCTAGCTTTTGAATAGGCCAAAATGTTTACATAAGTTCATTCTCATATGTTAAACTTGTTTTGAAAGTTTAAAGTTAATGATGTCATATTCTAAGGAAGTTCATTTTATCTCACCTCAAATTGTGATTGTTAAGTAATGGGTTTTAAATTATATAAAATTTTGTATGCATGTATTGATTTGGATATTATGCTTTAGGATTTATTGAGTGTAGTCTAAGGCCCAAAGGGGGCGGCTAGTTTATGGGTACCCAATTGAGTTTTAGAATATTGAAATTGTGAAACGGTCATGGGTATTTCAATTCTCTATATGTTATCAATTTAGAGTGGGATCATAGCCATTGGTTAGTGTTTGTTCTCCTCTTTATATAGGCAT